TCAATTCTCCGGAATCAAGTTCGGTTTTTACCCGATTTTATTAAACACCGAAAGTAATTGTCTCGGCCCTCCCTAAGAGCCATTCGATCGCCTCAAAATCAGCATTTCCATTTTTTACCATAATTAATTCATCGATTTACCGATTTTCCCAGCCTTCCGCGACGCCCCTCCAAAGGCCTCATTCCCATTTATTAATTCCCCCTTTTATCAAGGGTTCATAATCCGGGAATTTTTTCTATTGTTATCCAAGGAGGTACAAAAAACTATTGTCGAGTTTTCTCTGATAAGCCCCCACCTTCCGGGTTATCGCGGGTTAAAAAGGCATCGTCTAGATTCTCTCCTCGTCCCTGAAGGACGCGAGTCGCTCCCCTTCATCCCGCGGGACTCCTTGGCCCATCGAGCGTGGCATTAGCGACAATTAACGGCGCATACTAATTACGCACCTAGAATCTCAGGCCCCGATTGGGGGCAACGTTCCCGACGTTTTTCGCCAATTAGGCCCGACTCATCCCGCGGGATGCAGCGAGAGGTCCAGGGATGCTGCCACTGCGATAAGTGGAGTAAAACAGGAGGGAAAGGTGGGAAATAAAGAGAGAGAAAAATAGGGGAAAAACGAGGGGTTCGTCGCGTGTTTACTCCCGCCTCTCGGGGGGCCTTAACGAATGCCGGCGAGGGGGTACAGGGGTAACAAGAGAGGTAAAGGGGTAATAAGAAAGGTAAATCGGCAGAGGGATGACGGGGGCTAAGGGGGTCCCCAGAAACCGCAGGAAGGACTTCCACTTCGGGTGACAGAAATTTACAATTAATTGGAAAAAGGGGTAAACTGCATAAGTGCGAATAGGGGTCTTAACGAAATTAATCTAAAATTATGAATTATATCCCCCGAGGAAAGAACTCGTATGCCGGCCTATTTGAGAGAAAATCCTGGTTTACTTTGCGGGGTGGGGAGGCGCATATGGGAGGGGGGTTATTTCGGTACTTCGTGTTTGTCTTCAATTACGGAGTCGGCACTCGTGCCGCCCCAGGCGTCTACTTATTCCCGCTCGCGCGTGCGATTGCAAGTATTTTCGGGGGGGTGCAAGACCCTCTGGGGGTGGGGGAGTCGCGAACATCACCCCCCACGATTCGCTCGGCCGCTCGCAATTAATAGAGAACTAGTCCGGAACTGGTCCGTGCTCCGGAAATTAATGGATCGCCCTCTGACTAGCGGAAAAATGGAGTCTGGGGGGAGGCTTCGAAATATGACGTATAATGCCAGAAAAAGGTCAGCCCGGGAGTGGAAATTAATTTTGTTTGCCCCAGGCCGCGCGATGCCTCCCCGAACCCCCAAGGGTGCATGCGGTGCACAGCGGTGCATAGAACTGCATCGCGGGGGGTCCCGAAGTCGCGGAAAAGCTCGACCGAGAGATATCGAAGAGGGATTTTTTTCTTTCTTATCAATTGAACATAAGGATACTAGGTCGCAGGATTTCATTTTCATCCTGCACGTCTTTTCGAGACTCTTTGGGAAATTCCAGCGAAAAGGAGAAGAATTTCCAGGGATTATCGTCCACTTTTTAAGCAGATCGAAATTAATGAGCGTTGTAATTTTCATAATTTGTCGGAATTGATCAGACACTCTGTTGGTGATTGCGGCGAAATCCCGGGATTTTTTTTCGGGAAGTCTGAGAAGGGTGATATTTTTCTTATTTTTTGGGTAGGTTTTCTAAAAGTCATTTGAGCTTCGGGAACAATCGCTTGTCATTTTGTGTAAGTGCTATAAATAGGGTCGCGAGTTTGGAGTCGATTATTAAGATTCTCCGACGACCCAAGTTTAATTTGACACACTTGTAATTCGGAGTGGAGGAGTGTCCTTAATATTTCGAAAGCGTCGGTGAGGTCAATTCGAAGTGCGCCTTCCGGAGGATCAAAGGAAAATTAGATTTGCCTATCGGGCGTAATTGCGTTTCCGCTTCTGGGACCTGCTAATTCGAGTCTTCGCCGCTCATCGAGCTGGCACGTTTGACCATCTCGATATACATATACCAATACTGATAACGCGACATGGCCCGGCTTATCAGGCCATGTGGATCCACTCGCGGAGAAAGTAATTTGCTAATTTGATCGGCGAATTTCCAATAGTATCGGTAAATTGCGTCCCTCGCCCTCGGATTCGACCTAATCAGCTGATCGCTCTTATCGGTTTATCCTTATCCCGTCCAAGACGATTTTCATAAATTTTCATAAGATTGCATAAATCATGAAAGGTCGATTTTGCGAGAAAATCAAGGGGCACTCGCCTTTAATAGGAAATTCTCATAGCGAATTTTTGCGAAACGAAAAGTTGCAACACCGAGGAGAAACATTGAAGAATTCTAATTTTTCAACATGTTAAGCTTGTTCATATCGGGAATTTACGGCCAGGGATTGTTCTTCGTGGGATAAGAGATACAAGAGATTGCAGTAATTCCGAAATCTTTGAAAATTTCAGTCCGTAGGGATGAAACGGTTGCGCTTATCAGGAGTATACAGCGAGGGGTAATCTCGCGGGAAGTAAGCAAAATCACCGCAGTAGTGGTAAATCGCTCGGAATTTCGTTTTTTTAATTAACAAACTGGTATTCTTAACACGGATGAGGGATAATCCCTTCCTGGGCTCTTTCCGCCGAGTTAACTTTTCCGGGATTCGTCCACTTTTTCCAGGAACGACGACACGCGTCCTGACACAGGCTCCGGGAAACAATGGGGACAATTTCAATTGATATATATCTGGAATAGAATTCGGGTCGGCGTATCGGGCTTAATTTCTCGCCGATGTAGGCGCGAATCTTCCTGGCTGCCGTTCATTTGTCTTCATTATTCTCCTATTATGACGTCACGTCCGGGCCAACTTTGGGTTATCGGAAATTCCGCAGGTGAGGGATGCGAAAGAAGGGCGGATAAGCCTCGCATTTCCTTCCTGAAAATTTTTCTAATTCCCCTGAAAATTCTTCCGTTTCCTCTCGTTTCTATTATTTTTTTTTTGATTATTAAAATAAAATCGAAAATAAAATCGCTGCCGATTTTATTTTCTTTTAATTTCGGCTCGTCGGAGATGTACTCCTCGGATGAGAAATGCGGGATAGGAATAAAATTCCATTATGCCGTGGAATTCTTTCTGGAAATTATTTCCTATATTAATACAGTCTATCTTAGTATTTTATTGCAATATATTATAGCCCGTGTGCTTTGGATATTAATAAAGGAATGTCCAGGACTTCGAAGGAATCCACGGTGTGCCGTCTGGGAAACTGCCTCCCGGTTTGCCAATAATAACGGAATAACGGCGGTCACGTCGGTAAAACGGAGTAGAGGAACAGAGGGGATATCTCGTTAAGTCCAGCCGAGTCGTGGCTTCGGTCCTGATTCGTTTCTGTCCCGGAAACGTTGCCGGCCAGAAACGGATTGCACCCGATGCAATAGTCCGGGCCCTTTATCGTTTAACGTCGGACCTAGATCCGTTTCCCTGACTTTTATACCCTGACTTTCATCCTTCGGGATGCCGCCCGGAAGAATAGCCCCGGAAATCCGTCGCGGTCAAAGATTACCCCCGACTGGATTTCCGTTTCCCTTCCTGGAGGATTTTCCGCGGCCCTCTGCGCAGCGGATGACAAACGGGGGGAGTTTAATTCCGTCGGCTCACGCCCGGAATTTCGGAATCGCGGTCCTAGAGGCCACGTATACTTTTTTCGACCTCTGTACAGGTCTTGCACGCGTGCCAGTGTAAGTACTAGGACGTGTACCGCTCGTGTACGGAGGCTCCCATGTCGGAATTCCGGGCGAGCCTCGATCCGTTGCTCCACTTCCGGTCGTTAAGGGTGCAGTCGTTTCTCGACAGTGTTCGACCCTCGTTACCGTAAATCAATTATCTCTACTTTGGCCAGTGGGTCGGTAAGACTTTTCCATTACTCTTTCCACGCCTGTCCGTTTAACGCTCCCTCGTCCACCATTTTCCTGTTTTTGGTACGTTCTTGTTAGTTGACTCTTTATTTTCTTACTCGCCACTTTCTTTGTTCGCCATTTGTACGTAAGCCGGCGAACCACCTTTTTGTTCATCGATTTTACACTCACCGTTCCTTCACCACCTCTCAATTCTTCGTCTTCCCGTCCGCCATCTTGGAATCCCTCTTTTCGCCGCCACGTTCTCTTTCGGCATTTCCCGTTCTCCAAACCTCCCTCGGTAGGATTCGGTGCTCGGGAATAAATAGAAACGTGAAATGTTAACGGGGCCGAGGATTCTCCATTACCCGGAAACGAGGGATCCCCCGGAAAGGAGGGACGTCGATTTAAATTAAAAAATTCACCCCTCGTCGCGTCGACAAGATGGCCGCCGCGCGGCCGCCCTCGACACGTGGCCGCATCTCGGGAATAATTAACAAACGATTAATAATTCCCGGCCATGCGGTGGCGCCGAACAATCTTCTTTTTTTCCCCTTTCTCTCTTCCGCAGTGCACGGAGGCACGTTTTGTACGCGTTGCGAAAATTCGAGCGGGAGGGGCCTTTTATATCGGGGGAAATTCATCTTCCGGTGCCGCCTCGCATATCCACCCGGTCATTATCAATTTCGTCACGTTTTTCCGCCCGACGTGGACGATAATCCGTCTGTGTTTAAATTCACTGAAATTTCATTCTCATCGGGCTTTCTGCCCCGGGAAATTGTCGCCTCGATGTCCTCCCGGATATCTTTTGTGCGGATCCGCGCGTGATAAGCTTCTCTTATTATTTCCCCTCTCTTCCTCCACCCGATGAAATTTCAGAAATGTATGAAACCTTGCATACAATTAATTCCAGTCTATCTCAACTGAAGCTCTTCGAATTGACGAGATATTTCTTCGGTTCAATGAACATTTTTACCTCGGTTTGACGAATGACTTTCACGTGGCGTATTAATTGCTTCCTTCTTTATGTCATTATGCATATTTTAGAGATCGTTGTTCCGTTTAAATAAATACTTACATGTGGTCCTTTTTCGCCTTTTCCAGAAATACGTCAGCGAGGGCTCCACAGTGCGTGACTGCGTTCCATCGTGTGTGGAGAAAGGTAAATGCATCGGCTCTCTGCAACATTCAAAGGGAGGGCCCAACGGGTGGTGCAATTTTTATCCACCTCCGATAATTGCATGGAATTCCCCCCATTGATCGAAAGAGAAGCACTACCGCCTAGAGGGCCGTGCAACATTGAAACTCGGATGCAATCAGGGGAAGTCGCAAATGGGCTCTATAGTGTTGACCTCCCCCTGGCAAGGGGAGCTCATTTTTCACCTAAATTACGGATAATTTCTCACTTAGAAGAAATTTACATCCGCGCATTTCCCATCCCATTTATCCCATCACGGTCCCCCGACGTCCTGTCGGGCACCTGTCGAGGCGGGAATAAAATTGAATGAAAAATTAATAAAGAAAAAAAAATCAAGAACAAACAAACAGTACCCAAGAGGTATATTTTTAATCCAAAGAATAATGATCAGGCTCAAATAAATTCTGATAATTCCGAAGGGACGTAGCATCGGATGCATTGGATTACAATCGAGTCAATTGATAAAATATTTCTCTGGATCGATGAAGATTTTATTGAGGCGCGTCAAAGGAGTGGGAGTACGATAGGAGGTTAAAAAGAGATAGGAATAATTTTTTTGAGTAGGTCTTAGAGTCGGTACCGGAGAAGGAAGAGCGATCGGGTGCTTTTCATCCTCGATTCGGATCGATCCTCGAACTCGTAACATCCGGGGCCGTTCTTCACGACCGATTTACGTCGCATCCGAAGAGGAAGTACCGGAAGAGCCCCTCGGTCCCTCGGGATGGGCATTTAAAATCTCATCGTTCGAGTTCAGAGATCAAAGACGTCACGTGCGCTTTTCCTTTCGCTTTGAGTCTTCGGCCTTTCGGGGCGACATTGAGATGGCGGTTGAATCTCCCGAACGTAAGGATGATCCTCGAAGGAATCAAATTCCGCCGCCCCGAGAGTAAGGGTTGGGCCGGGAATAAATTAGGGACGGCCGAGAGATAGGGGGAGGAAAGTTTTCCTTTCCTTGCCGGTGAATTTATTAAACAGGAAACCTCGGTCCGAGGGAGGATGGATGGCGACCTCGGAGATATCTGCTTTCGCGAAAAAGGAGGGACCGATCTGACCGGCGACGCCGGCGTCGCCGCTGACGTCAGCTGGGCGAAAATTAATGGGAAATAGATCGGAGTCAGCCAGGACTTCCGACAAATTCTTGGCGACTTCACCCTGGAGACCTCTGTCCGAGGAGTTGTCGCGCTTCTTCTCGGCGTCTTCCTGGTCCATTGTCTCGAGAAGACAAGAGGGGCGTCCGAATTCTGGCTGACCAGAGCGCGATCACTTCCACTCGAGACTCCCTTGGATAGAAAAAGAATAAGAGTTTGATCGGAAGAAAAATTGAAAAAAAAAAAAAACACGTCTACTCCAGGAGATTCCCTTGTAGGGTGTTAAAAGTTACAAAACTTTATCCCACGCAAGAAATGCATTTTCTTTCCTTAACATTCTCGACGTTTAGCGGGCTGACCAGGTCGCGATTACTTCCACTTGCCCGGAGAAAAATGGAATGACAAGTTAATCCGATGTACAACGGTTAATCTTAGTTTAACGTTCATTGGGTAATCCCGGGAGTCTTCGATGGTCCAGGGTCAAGGAAGGAGGTTGAGGAGCCTAATAAAAATGAAGCGAGCCCTAGGATTTTTTTTTTAAACCTTCCACCAGGGAGTTCCTTTCTTGGTTGGCAGGGTCTTTTGAAAGAGTCCCTCGGGAATTCGGGGCGAATAGACAGTACCGCAGTCGGGGGCGTCAAAAGGAAGGGGTTTCCGGGATGCATCCGATGGAAATCTCGTTCGCCTTTCGAAGGCCCTCGCAGGGGGCAGGGGGGCAGGTGCGACAGGGGGTCCCCTTTCGGCACGGGCTTGTCACCGACTCGGGCACGACGCGATTGAAATGTCATCGATTTCTGGTTAAGCTCGTCCTGGGCCGCTCGCTCCCCTTGAACAAAGCGAGACGGAGTCGAAAAAAGAGCACGAGGGGATCGAAAAGGTTCGGCGGAATCTGCCCCGAGGCCTCTCCGATCCTCGTATGTCGCTCGTTCTCTCCTTTTCCCTGGCCTCGTCCTCTGTTTCGCCTTCTTTTGACGCTCTCATTTCTCCACGGGTCCCTTTCCATCCGCCGCGATGCTTTTTCTCCCTCTTTCAGCGATTCCCCGACTAATAAAACCAGCCGCGTTGGCTCTATTAAACGCGTCGCCATTCTTCGAGGTGTCTTCCTTCCTTTCGCTTTCGACCCATTTATTTACCCTTAATAAGTGGTCCCTGCGCGTACCATTTCTTCTTTCCATTTCCCTGTCTCTTAAGACTCTCACTTCTTCGTTTCATTGTGTCAGCCTTGATCGTTCCTGTAAATTAATCTTGAAAATTCGAGGAATCATTTTTTAAAAGTCCCGACTAAGATTATTCAATCGGGATGGATTAGTGACTATTATAGAGGGGAGGGAATCTTTCGTCGGTTGTCGTTGGCCGGCCCATTTTCTTGAATTTCCTGGATTTCTTGCAGATTCCTGGAGCACGAGGACGTACTGCTGCAAGCAGGACGGCTGCAACTCCGGACCAGATCTCTCGGCATCTTCCGGTAGCCTCTGGTCTCTTGCACTGACCCTGGTCCTCCTGGGCTTAGGACGTCGTGGCTAATACTTCGAAAAGCTTCCCCCGAGCCCCGAATCGTGCGAGGCCCGTCTTCTTCAGGGCGCGATCCTGGAGAGAGGGCTCTTCGGCTCGGGCCACCTCGAGGAACGGCGATCATCCCGGACATCCGTAGTGCAAGACAGAGAGGAGCGTCGAGTGCCCAGGGCCTCGTCGAGGCTGCATTCTAAAAGAGATAAACATTAGCGAGAATTATTGCAAGTAGTCTTTCAGGAGAGGAAAGGGAGGCTGCGCGAGGAGCGAGAGGGAGACGAGAGAAGGACCTCGAAGAGCCCCAACAATCGACCTCGGAGGTCCTTAAGACCCGAAACATAAAATGATAACGAGTAACGGACAATTTTTCCAGACACTTTCAAGGCGAGATTATTCCCTGATTGTGCAAGATTTCCCGATGAAAAATTGCCCGGTCTTGTCAATTGTTTCAGGAGAAGATAACCCGGCCATGGAATGATGTTGCAAAGGATTGCCTTATCACGGAGTAATTATTCAGATGTTGCTTGATTATGCAGTTAGACGAAAAAAAAAAAAGAAAGAAAGAATCCAGGGAAGGTGCGTCTCGTCTCTGTCTTCGCTCGCGCTGTCCCCTGTTCTTCTGTCCTCTTCTCCCCTCATGTTTCCCCCTTTTTCACAAAAGTGGTTTGCCTCGTTTCCGTCGAACCTCCGTAAGCGGAAACTCGCTGTAAATACGTATAAGGGACTGTTTCGAATTTGGCTGCGGCGCTCCTAGCGGGGAAAACCAGAAGCTAACGGCTCGAAGAAGCGGAAGAAGTAGGGAAAACGTAAAAGACAGACTTCAATGGCACGTAAGAATGGGTTATAAACGGGAAAGGAGAACGATCGGTCGCGTTGCTCGATCTTGCAGGGGGGACGAGAGGAAGAGCGAGCAAGGATGGAAAATAAATTAAATAATAACTAGCACACGAGAGGGAAGCGAGTCACCTCGAAGACTCTCGCGAAGAGTTCCACACATCGACGCGCCCATTGGCTAAGGCCTTGCGACGTATTTTTAACAGTAAACTTAACATGTCGAGAGTACCGACGTACAGATAATACTAAAGACGAAGATTACACCTATTATTATTACTACTATTAATACATCATTATTACTACCGCTAACGACTTAGTCACGGATTCTAACGACCGAGGGACGCGCGGATCGCCCCGAGCCGCTCGGGATAAAAAATATTCCCCGTTCCCGGAAACCGACGGAAATAATTTCTTCGCCCGATCGAACACTTTTCCTGATGGCAACAATGGTCAGAAAAAATATGGGAACTCTGTATAATTTTTTTCCCCGGTTGAAAAGCAAAGAGAATCGCGCCTCCGCGCGCGGCTTCAGTTTTCCGGTGGAATCGTATCGATGGATCGGTCGGGAAATATTTTTTTGTTTTTCCGGGCGAAATGGAAAACACTTCCATCTGCCAGTCACGTTTCGATCCGGTGGTGCAATTTATAATATTCGCGAGGGATATTTATTTGAATATTATAAATATTCCCACCGGACGCGGGGCTGGCCTCGGGTACGTCTCCTCGCGAAGAAAATCGCTTGATTAGGGTGATAACGTTATTTAATAAAGAAATATATTATATACATAGGCAGAACCAGTCGCAGGTATGTATTTACGGTTGTTGCGTGAAGAGATATAAATTACGTTGCGTGTAAATGCGTGGACGCGTTGAATTTTGGGACCTGAAGGGTCGCACACGAATGAGGGACTTTCAAGTCGAAATAGCTTGAGCCTAGGGCAAAGAAAATGGCGGATAATTATGAGAAGCTGTCGGATAAATCGGAAATAAGTGGCTGGAGCTAATTTGTCCTGGAAACGGCAGAGACAGGATGGAAAATGCCGATTAGGCATTAAGAGTCGGTTTAGGACGAGCCACGATTGACACTATCCAATAACTTCGGGACTAGATCGAGTATTCTCCACTTATGAGTAGTCGCGAAAGCCTTAGACCATTATTGGCTCCTTTATTCGTTTTCCGACACGCCGTCGAGAGTCGTTAACAAAGAGCGAGGACTCTGGTCCCCCCCAAAAATAGAGAAGAGTCAAGCCAAGCCGCGAAAATTCGAGAAAAATGGACCGATTAATTTTCATCTTACTGCAGAAAATTCCCAAATAATTGTCGATCGATTGTTTATCAACGAGGGAATTTTCCGGTTAGGTGAAAAGTGCAATTGCACGTTTTCCTGCAGATTCTCGGGGCCCTTTCCTTCCGGCGACTTTCGGTTCTCCGGATTCACTTTCGATGGAAGGACCTGGCGACCATCCCAGGACCTCACCTCGTCCTTCCAACCCGAATCTCCGAGATTTCCTGTAAAAAGGATCTTCGATCCATTCATCGAGACGCGATGGCCGAGGACTAATCATACAGGACTCAGAGGGTTGACAAGGGTTCCGCCATATTGGAAACAAAAGCCGACCGGTGTAAGGAAGATGAATAATTACAGGAAAAAAAAATAATAATTAAGCTTCCTGCGAGCGGAGACAAATCAAGTATCAGTAAAACCCGAGACACTCGTCCTGGGACTCAGAAAAAAAAATGAATAAGACAGAGAGGCACTGATATCTGAAACAAAAGAGAGAATTATTAGTCCATCGGTTCGGCTTAAATTAAAGGAAGGAAATTCGGGAAGAAGGCGTGCCTGAGAGTCCTGAAAGTCCTGAGCATCGTAATCGGGAATTGCGAGGTCCATCGCGACTCCTGCCTCTCTTTTAGCTCTCTTTCTCTCTCTCTCTCCTTTTTCTACGGAATAAAACAAGTAAAGTTAATTAAAATCACCGAGGGACTGCCAAAGCGTCGGTACCACCTTGGCCAAGAAGGTGGGAGGGAAGTTCTCCAGGGGAAGTAATACCGGATATATTCTCACTTAATCACGCTTCTTAGGGGATTATCCTTGCCAGAGTTATCCTCTCTCATAGGACCTGATTATCCTTAGGGTAGGAAGAAAGCCGCCCCAAGAGCCGCGTCCTCGTCGATGGTCCTCGTCGATTTTCAATTTCAAAAATCGAGGCCCCCTTCCGGAAGTCCTCTCGACTCGTCCTCGTCCTCGAAGGACCTCTTCAGAAATCGACCCCGTCGTCTACAAGGACTCGGCTCGGGGGCGATGGTTTTAATATCGACCCTCTCGCCCGTATATTAAATCCGCTGAATATATTATTAATTATAACATAGAGAAATGGGGTGCGAGGTTCTTAGCCATGTAAGCTGATCATGTCCGACGAGTTGTACATTTATAATAGAACATGCAATAAAGACGTAACATTAAACTTGAACCGATCGGAAGGCTCGTCCAGGAACTCTCCTTTATTTTATACGTAATGGAATTTAGGAGAAAAGACATTGTTCTCTAATTTTTTTGTGAAATTTCACGAATAACGTCCTTCTTTAACCAACATTTGAGAGCTTTATATAAACATATACATCAAATATGACTCTTTCATATCACCTTAATCCCTCGATTCGAGTTTCCCGGGAATTTTCGCAAGCCTCGGAGATGCGGTCGCGAATGAATTTTGCATTAATCCTGGCGACAATTAACGTTACGTTCCATAATTGGCGACTAGTACTTGAGCCCTCTGTTCCAGAACATGGAAACTCGGTAACGAGGCTGATTTACTGAAATCGATTAATTTATTTCCCCCGCTTAATAATCGCGAAAGGCGTCTATCCAGAGAACGCGGACAATTAGAATGCTTTTCGCAGACACCTCCGCAGGGATTATTATTTTCTTTTGCAATTGGAAAGACAGGTGTAACAGCGAAGGAGCCGAGAAGGAAGGATACGAACCCGTGGACAGTGTTAGGATATTTATTTTAGAATTTGTACGCTCTGTTGTCCGAAACGATTTCACAGAGCGTACCGATTCTTTAATAAGTGTCGGCTAACAATGAGCAACAATCCGCCCCGGAGTCGCCCGTCGGTACGTAGAAGCCCCAGTACTCTATTAAAGTAGTTAAATTAAATTAATTAACACATTTCCTGCCATATCCGCCGCTTGCGAAACTTGTTTAATGGCGACGCCCGACATAAAGGACGTGCCATTGACGTCACCGGCGACGCACGGTATATAAAAAAACGCACATTTACGTCACGAGCGGGTAAGTGACGATATGGAAAATAGGGTAAAAAGTTGGGTAAATTGTACCGGGTTTAGAAACATGCCAATGGAAATCTTCTTGGCAGGAGGTTTTAGTAAACTAATTCATGTTTCATTCACCTGTGACATTCTACATGCAATGTATACACGTGCAAGTAAATGCTATTTAACACGGTAGACATTGAAATAAAATATTCCTTACAGGATTTAATATGAGAGATATTTTCCTAGCAATTTCAAGGTGGTTAAATCGCGTTTCAAGTAAATTATTGAAAATCTGGCACGAGGATGAGACCATAGAATTATTGAAATTAACCCTTTGTAGTCATATATCTATTCTCGGCCACCAAAACACCTATGTATACATTTAGTACAAAGGGTTAAACATTGAAAGAGATCAATTGTTTTGCGATAAATTTCTGGTTTGTTACATCAAGTGGCATCCATTAGAGTAAATTGCGGAAAGTGGCTCGAGGATGTGACCACATGGAGTGGTACTTTCCTAGTTAAGTCAGACCCGGAGACACTTTGTCGGATCCGAGTAACGAACAAGCCCCCGACTTGTCAGAAATGACGGATCGCCCATTTCAGGGTAAAGTGGATAAACCGGCCTTCTCGAATTTCGCGTTAGGTAATCTCGCCCCTCGTTGGGTGAAGTGTTCCACCGAAGCGTCGCCGGATATATAGAAAACGTATCTCGAAAAGTGACGTCTAATAAATATGCTAATACCCGAGGCGAGGCGATCCAAGAGCGGCCTCCAAGAAACTCGGCAAACGGGACGTCGAAGTCGTTATTAACATTAAACCTACGGACGATTTATACCCCCATTACAAGTACCATTTAAAATGGTCTATTTGACCCGCCGATAGTAGGTTTAGTGTTAACACATTAGCGACCGCTGACGTGAATTCACGTCCATAATGAAACACGATACAAGTTCGCGGCGAGCAGTTTCAGAATGTCATTATTTTCCCCGGTACTCAGGTATTTGACCCGGCAAAAATTTGCCGCTCGCGAATGTGTTAACAGGTCCCGCGAGAGGATATAAATGCGAAACAATAGTTTTACCCCTCTGGGGGGCGGTTAATGCCGAAATGCGGGGAGATTAATTCCCATCGGACACGGAGCCGCGATATGAACGGCGGTGATTATCGTTAACGAAGGACTGGATTGATTTTTTTTTCGCGGCGCCGCTGCTCGGAGGTTTAACCGCCGGTTAATCCGCGGGTTAAACGTTAACTGACCGGAAAGAGTCCCCGGTGTCGCGTGCCGTGCCGGGAAATAATTAAAAGCGTCTCAAGCGGCGCAGAATGGCGGGCTTTCGGTGTTTCTGACGTTTTAACGATTGGCCGACTTTAATTTAACGCCGACTAGCAGCCGCGCAAAAGCCGAGGTGTTAACGCCGGAATGGATGGCGCACACTTGTTAAAAACCTAAACAGCTTGTTTCCGAAAGGGGCGGTCATATTCGGTGTAAAGGCTCGCCTTATTCCCAGAAACCGCAATAGGATCCTTATCACGGAGAGGGTATTTCTCTTCTGTCGGGGAATAAGCTCATCAATTGTCCCACACCTGGGAACCGCAATTTCCGGTCTTCGTGACGGCGATCGCTTTTCTAGTGTTAAGCATCTCCATTGTGTTTCTTCGAAATATCCTTTTTATATTCTGGGAATGACGGAGGGTGGAAACGTTCCTGGGGGTCTGCACCTGGAAACGGTGCATCCTTATGAATTATTTATGAACGCGGGAAGAGTGTTTGCGAAAGTCGAAGGGTTACTCAAAATAGAAAAGATTTCTTTCTCTCACCTTGGTGATTAACTTAGCTGAATTAATCCCATTGTTTGAGGCGGGGGACGTGATCTTCATGGGGTGATAAAGCTCCGTCGGATTCTCATCGTAAGGATATGTTTGTCCTACAAATGACGCTTTCATTCTCTTTATACAAGGTAGAGAGAGAGAGACATAATTGTATGCAACGTTTCTTCAAAATTATGACAATCGCCATTGAATTAATTCCAGTCAAATAATTATTCCTCGAGCTGACAAAATATTTCTTTGGTGTTATTCGAAGAAATGCCGCTTTTATTTTTTTCTTTTTTTTCTTTTCTGGGTACCAATCGACACGGCGAGGATATTTTCATGGAATATGCAGATGGGGAAGTAAATTCATCAATTGCGCCGTAAGCTCCAGTCAATATCGTCCATTTTTCATTGTTAAGAGGGCCCATTGTGTTCCTTGGGAATATCCAGTCTATATCCTGGGGATGACGAAGGGCTGCAGTCCGGGATCTCCATGCACCTGGGGACGATCTACACTCATGAATGATGCAGGAACGCTCGGGTCCGTTTGTTTATGCGAATTCCTGGATCGCAAAAGGTCTCCAAAGCTTTCGCACGGATCACCGGGCGGAATTATGCCGAGGGAGAAATAATAATTCCGGGCCGGAGGCGTCGAGCTTGCGGAAAAGTTTCCCGCCGTCGCGCCGAATGGGAAATATCCCCCCAGCTTATTAATGTGCTTACGATAAATTCAAGGAAAAGCTTTGGCCACGCGTCCCGCCGAAGTCGAAGCACAGAAAGCTGGGAGGAAAAGCTGCCGGGTTCCTGGGGGAGGTTTTCGCCGCCTTTCCCGAGCCGGCCGACCCGGTTACATTTATTCCTGGGGGTGGACATTTTTCACGGGCTTCCTTTCGGCGGGTGGGAAATTAAAATTGATCGTCGCTTTAATTCCCGTATACCGTGAAAAGCTCCTCTTCGGTCTCGTGCCGCAAGCAAGACTGTGCCTAAACCTGGAACATATAAATAAATTGGTAACAAGGGCTCCGAACATAGTGCAACGAGGTATTACCGAAGACTTACTCGTGGTGAATCTCTGTCCAAAATTAAGATGCTTACGGTACACAATTATTATTAATATTGCTCACAGGCAAACAGGACGTGGACGTTAAGCGCGAAATAAATCAAGAATAAAATCTCCGAACCCGAAGTATCGTCATTTATTAATTTCACCTAATTATTCGAGGATATTACCGGTGTCCGGTTAATATTTTACAATGTTCCGCCGATAGGACAGGCTGATAATAAATGCAACTCGCGGCTAGCAGGAAGCCTCGCCGCCAATTTCCTCTTATCAGGTGTCCGCCTTGTAACGTAGCCGGCGTTCTCCTCGTTAATCAGCCGAGATTATAAAGGAGGCTCGTCCCCGGCTTAATTGGCAGCGTACCAGGTGTGCCATGGTGAATTCATGAGACCGGGTGCCACCTGAAATATGAGGAAACAAGCCGCGGAGGAATTAAAGTACTCGAGAGGATGCTACCGAAAGTCCGAAAAGTGAAGAAGACGAAGAGCATCCAGTTTTTACGAAATTTATTCAGGTAAACATAGCGCCCTACAGTCGTATCGCGAGCTTCGCGATCGATGGAGTCTCCTGTACTTCGTTCTACTATATTTCCTGTCGGACTTCGCCCCAACTATATTCCCTGTCGGACTTCTCCCTAACTATATATCCAGTCAGACTTCGTAAACGACGCCTTGAAGAGGGGCAATCTCGGAATCGTCCTCCTGGCGAGTCTTCGTCAAGTCGTCGGAGTCCTCTTCTAGGAAATCCCGAGGGAGCGACGGGATCGGGATCGATAATCCGGGATTTAACGGCGAAGTTGAAAAACTCGGCGAGGCCGTGAAACGACTTCCACGTGGAGGCTCCTCGTCAGGGTTCGGCTCGACGGAAGAGAGCCTCCCCTGGGAAGAGTCCTTTCCCTGGACCATCGGGTCCCTGGGGACCTCAGGGACCCTAGGGAACCCAGGTCCGAGGCAGGGTCCGAGGACGTCGAGCGGAAGCGAGGTCACTCGCCGACCTTCCGCTCGACGAGTCGGAACGTCTCTTCCCTTTTTCTTTCCTTCCGGCCCGGTCGTCACCAAAAGTCATGCTCCGTGATCTTTGCTCGACATAATTTACTAGAAAAAAAGGGAAAAATCGGTGTACTGTACAATTAAGGCTGACTCCGCGGTCCTCCCCGAGTTCCTCGACGATGCGGTTTCAGCCGCGGCGCGGCTCGCGCGCTTTCCACCGGCTCCGGTGCACGTCTTCTTTACTAATTGGCCTGGAACAAAATAATTAAAAGTCGAGGTGCCTTTTATTAACTTACTAATGGATAAATGAGGATCATAAATTATATTATAATTTAGTTCACTTCCTGAAGGGTGTGGTAAGGATATTTTTCAGGGACCCCGAAGTACGTTCCATTGTTCTAATTCCGCCAAGGCGGAAATTTCAGGGACTGTTAAAGGAACTTCGGCACGTCCTTCATCCATTTATCGGTGGTTCACCGACCTTGGGCGAGTCTCCGCCACCTAGGAAAACGAGGCCCGTGGCACCGGCGTACGCTAGCAGCGTGTCGACGGCCTGCTGCGTCTCCAGGAGGATCCTGGCTTCGTTCATCCAGTCCCTAGCGATGCACCGAGGAGCACCTTCCAGGAGGTTCAAGTACCGTAGGGTCATCCTGAAGTCGCCACGGTCCATCCAGTATCTAGAAAAAGGGAGCAGCTGTTAGAGGCCGCGAGATTACAGGACAATCTCGGGTCTAAAACCGATCGCTGATCGATCGAGGTCGAGGATGCGACCAGCCGAGACGGCCCAACAATCTGGCTATACTCGATTTATTAGCGAGTTCGCGGTACCGACATCGGGGGGTAACGCGTCTGCAGTTACTTGCAGTTACTTGCAGCTACTTGCAGTAACCACGCTCGACTGGCTAACCGGTGAATGCGTCCAACTTCGGGCCAGGAAGTTCCCCAAAGTGCGGGGAACTTGCAGGCCGCTCCTTTCCGCCCTGAAGTCCGTGGAAATGGCTTGACCGCGGTGGGATTAACGATCGAGAGACCGACCTCGACGAGTTCCCCGGGATTTTTCCCTCTTCAGGGTACCCTGGGAGGTTCGCATCCCTCATTTCAGGGCGCGGAAGGGTTGGACGTTCCTCGGATCCGATGCCAGCCTGGGGCACGTCTCTGATGGAGAGCTAGATGTTCCCCAGATGTTCATAAGGGGTGGTGGGTGGTTAGGGAATTAAATGCCCCAAGATGGCGTGGACAGAAAGAAATGTGCGAGTCTGAGAGAAATCCCGGGAAAGTCTGGGAGGGTAACAGAAAGACGTGGGGAAAACCTCTGGGCGAGTGTCAGAAAGTACTCCAGGAAAAGTCGCAAAGGGTTCCGGCCGCGAGGCTCGCTGCCAGGTCGGGGAATTATTTCGCAAGGCTATTAAAATCCCGGCCAAGTTAACCGGGCATTATGTTCGTCGTGTACACCGGAAAGGCTGGCTCCGCAAAATTCCCGGCAATTGATTCGACCGATTGTTCGAGTCCCCGGGCAGGTCCACGGAGACGGCTGACGTTTCCCGTGGGTGTACATTTTGCCTACGTGGGAGTACGTCCCGGGGGGGTCCCGGGATCCAAGAATATATGCATGTACCGGTGCATATGCCGGGCCATCTATACCAGGTATATACGCAGGCATATAGATATATTCGAGAGGCATTCGCCATTCCTAGGCGCAGTTCCGAGGGGGATCCCTATTTGCCATGCTACTCTCGTTGACGAACCGACTCGGTCTTACTCCGTTGACTGGCAGTATTTCTCTCGAGCAAAATCTTAAGGAAATCACGGCGCCCCCAGCTCGTTCCCGCACATCTCGGAGCAGCCTCTGCAGGATCGAGAGATGGATTCTTCCCGAGCGGGAACGGAAATCCCGGGAAATCGGGGTTCTTACGAATTCCCTGGATTTCCCGGGTGGGACGGGACGCCTTATACCGGGTATGTAGGATCTTTATCCGAGATCGGAATTCCTCAAAACAGGAGACCCGGGAAGCGATTCAGGGGAGGATGCCAGGATTCCGCACGGAGAAGTCCTCCGACGCCCTCCTCGGTTAAAGTCCTGGCAAATGGTCGCCCTGACCCGCCGCGGAATGCGTTCCATCGCGGCCCTTCTTCGGGGAAGTCGCGCTCAAGTTTCGGAGTTCTTGCGGTCCCTGGGGAAGAGGCGAACAGGAAAGGAGGTCGCGAAGAGGCCTGACCTCGCTCTGTGGAGGATGTCGTAGGTGTTGAGGGCCTCCACGTCGATGGGCTCGTCGTCCAGCTCGCTCTTCGGTATCGGGCCGACCGCCTTGACCAGCAGGAAGCTTTGCAGATAGCTGAGGACGTAGATCGGCAAGGACGCCCCGGTCTCCGGAACGAGGGCCAGCCTCCTCGCCATGTTCTCTACCTGACAACAATGGCCTGGTCATCAGCCGGGAATTTATGGGGACTCGGAGGGACCCGAATCGCCTCGTAAACCCGCAATCATCACCTGGAGGAACCTCTCTCTGAGCGCGTCTTCGGGGAAGACTCCTCGCTTATACGCCTCTTCGGGGATGCCTTCGATGGTCGCGCGCACCAGCTCGTCTCCTTTCGCTGAAACGAGATGTTAGGGTGATATGAAAGGCGCCGAGCAATTTAATCGAGGTCGATTAATCAAAATCGGAAGGACCCATTCCCATGATACGAATCAGGATGAGTCTTTCTTCTCTCTACTTACGAGCAGCCTTGGAGACGGCGTTGATCTCCGGCTCGAGGGGCCTGATAGCCTTATCAGGCGTGGCACCAGGTGGGGCGACTTTGACAGCTCTTGCCAAAGCTTGACAGGCTGCCCAGAGCATTTGCGCGTCGCAGGCACTCCTCTCCTCGTCCAGCCTCGCTGCAAATGCGAATGCAAATTGCGGGGGATTTAAAGGCCATTGCGGGAACGCAAAGTTCGAGGTTAATCGGAACTCATTGGCGAGAGGTGCAAGGAACTTCGGTACTTCCGAGTTGTCCCGCGGTATCGTCCGCAAAATCCGAGCCTCGTGGACAAATTAACGAAATTACCCCCGGATCCCGAGGGCGAGGCTCGTTACGGGACCAACGGAGATCCCGAGGGTTCGAATCGCCGGGAAGTTAAATCCTCTACCGATTTCCGCGAGGCCACATCCACGGAATCGCGTTGGGTAATTCTCTCCGAGAAGCGCGAACAAAAGGAAAAAAGAAAGAAAATCATTTTTCCAACAGATAGACCGGAAAGCTCTGAAACGTTTTTTCTTCTCTTCTTTTTCATAATATTAATATATTATCCCCGTTTCATATTTAATGCCAATACTCGCAGCGACCCCAACGGAAACGTTTACGGAAATTGCGCGAATCATCGTTTATTATTTTGTGTCCAATAACAAAACGTCATGGAGTTTACCGAATTAATTCACAATTGTCCGTACTTTTAACCGGAAAATTGGGAATAATTATGAATGGAATCAGTACACGAATTGGTATGACAAAAGTGTTAAAAGGAAATCCGAAGCGAAGTCGAAGTTCCAGTTGGTAAAATCCGAGGTCGAATTTCGAAGGCGACTGGTAAAATTCTAAAGCACGGTAAAAAGCTCGGCTAGGTGAGTGCCCGGAAAGGGAAAGCCCCGTGATTCCAGGGGATTAACGAAATTACCGGTGATCCCCCGGGTGTCACCTGCGGCGTTCCAGCTGAGGTTAAATCAGGAAGGGACTAAACCCCGAAACCCGGAGAGCTTTCGACGGTAGCGTTTCACGGTTGGAGTGCAAGCTCACCCGACCCTGGATCCCTCTCCGGTATCTCGGACTCTCTCTTTCTATTTTTGCACCAAGCGACGCGTCACAAAAGGGATGGATCGCACCGCCGGAGAGAAGCGCAAATTGACTCGAAACCCGACGGCACGCAATTTCCGGGCTGACTGGAAAATCGTAGAGGGAGAAAGCGAGGAAGGAATAAAAATATGGGGCGTAAAAAAGAGCCGGATATAAAAAAGGCCTTCATAGAAAAAAAAAAAAAAAAAGGCAGCGCCGCAGGTCCCCTGCTCCTCCCACGTGGAATGAAGGCGACACGGAAGCGACACATCCAGTCGATATCTCTAATCGAAAGATAATATAAATATAAATATAAACCTCGTTCCCGTTTCGGACACTATATTCAGCTAAAGGAATCGCTTTTACCGCCGATTAAATGCCTCGCCACGATAAAGGGAGCTTGCGGCGTAACGCGATAACATTGGCCGTCTCGATTCTGCGAGGGGGAGCTTTTCTTAAAGGGTGGCGGACATCCGAGGCGAGTTCGAAATATCGGATGCCAAAGCTTGGGGGGGAAAAGATCGCGAAAGCTAGCGGGAACAACGACTCGCTCGGAAAGCCCCGCGTAAAAGGCGGGAAAAGCTCCCCGCGAGGCTTTTAGAAGAGTATCCATTTACGCGTGGCTACGTTCCCGGCGCGCGGCTTACTTGCCCTTCCGACACGTATAATTCGAATCGCCCGGGACCGCGAAAGCTCAACCGGGAGGAGCTTCAAAGCTTCCTTCCAGCCGGCTCGCAAGCGCCCAACTAATTAGCAAACACTCCCCCGCGGGAGCATTCCGTCGATACGCGCTTTTCTCTCATCCGCCTCCCACATTTTCCGCCCCTTTGGACCCCTGAATCGCTTTTAGACTCGCCACTCGTTTGAGCTTTCCGTTCCCACGGGTCCTCCTCGCGGTTTTCCGCCGAATTAGCGGTTTGTAACAGGATTCGCGGTTTATCGCCAAACTCGGGATTTTTTTTTTTCACCAAATCCGCGTGTTACGCAAAATTCCCGGTTTATCGGCAAACTCGCGATTTTTCACGAAATTCGCAATTTTTCGCCATGTTTTACATTCCACGGCAGTATGTCGCAAATTTCCGCTGTTTTCCGCATTTTTCATGGTTTTTATCCTTCAAGCCCGTTTGCGGTTTTTCGCGGTTCCCCTCTCGGCGCAGGCTCTCCCTCTGAAATGCCGCCACAAAGAGAAAGAGGGCCAAGGAGGAAACTCCGACTGTAATTTCTGTCTCCTGTAATCGGCACGGTTAACCGGCCGAGTGGAATAAAATTGGATACGTCTCTGGATAAGACGTAAAAAAGCGGCTCTTTCTCTCTCTCTTTTTCGAGGCTTTCCCACCTTCCGGTGGCCCCGTTATCATCGCCGGAAGCGGGCGAGCGAGTTCGAGACCGATAGCTTTTTGTCCGGAGAACAGTCGTCGAAAGTTTGGCCCTGGTCGATGGTTATACGACTGCTTTTCCGTTTCCGGTGGGGGCCGCACCCCCCGAGACCACCCCTCCCGGTAATTTTCGCGTTTTACTGCTTAACTTTTCCAGACCGCCAAAATGGCAGCCGGGGAAAACGGCGGGTGGCATTTTCAATTTCCGCAATCCACTTAGCGAGCCCGGTTTTCCGGACAATTGGCCATTGCCGATTTTACGAGACCTCCAATTTTCCCCGGAATTAACAGGAATTAGATTAAAGTCTCGAGGGAAGAGAAGGGAGGAGGTAGTAAACGGGTCCGCATAAAATTTCACAATTTCCTCGATTTTCCTAAAAAGTCATCCGAACGAGGCTACTGGCGTAAGGATGGAGGGTCTGTCTCTTCCGGGAAAACACGGGAAAATATCCACCCCACATGGGTGGGTTTCCCGGTGGGGAAAAGAGGCAAAGAGAGAAAAGAAGAAATGTCGATCGATTAATCGAGCTTTTTAATAACTCGCGTTGAAAGCGGTCCTCTGGGGCGCGACGGGCCTCTGGGCTGATACGAGCCATCGACGGGGCTCTCGAGTGAGATTCAATAACGACGGGAATTCAATAAGGAAGTCCTGGAGGGGGTGTTCGGCCAAAGAGGCCCGACGTGTCAAAGACGAGGCCAACAAAGTGGCGAAAGGGGCCACGAGGGAGAGATATCCCGTGGGATAAGGGGCGCCACCCCCTGACGCACCCTCCCCGTAAACAAGGATGACTCTCTGCCTACTTTATCCCCCAGGATCCGGATACGGGGTTTCGGCACGTCCCGGGAAAGCTCGTCAACGTTCCCCAAAGCTCCGAAAGCCAATCCGGGTCGTCGGGTAGATTCGTAATTTATTTCCGAGGTACATCCAACTAGTACGGCTAAAAGTATCACCCCTTTCCCTGGCGTTCGCATCCCCGAAAAAGCTCAGCTTTATTTCCTGATCATTTCCTAATCCGCGGAGACCCTTAAAGAGGCTATTGCGGTTCTTTCTTTCGTTTCTACGACATTAGTCGTTCCATATTGATAACAGGCACTTTTCCCATTATCTTCCAAACGGCTCGAGCGATTCCTTTTAATCGGGGAACAGATTGCCAATAAAAAAAGCAGTAAACATTCCCGTTTGTTTAATTTGATTGCGCAGGAAGTCGTCGTGCCGGGTTAAAGGACATCTCCTGGGAAGCGATTCCGGATATGCGGAAGTCCTTTGGGAACAATTACCGGGATTTCCGAACGGCCGAGTTTTGCGGGGCTCGCGCATAAGCCACCTTAATGACACCCGGAGAGGTGATAAACGTTGAAAGTTATAATTGCAATACTTGCTGCATACATTATTCCAGGTGCAGCCGCGGGACCGCGACCTATCAGTCCATCTCGGCCGACAACGCAGCAGTTATCCGTTTTAGTTAGCAGCCCCTAAACTGCGCTCGCCGCCCCCCGGTAGGGGTAGTTTCGCCCGGGTTCCGCTATTATTGCGCCGGATTTATTGCTAATGTTTTTCCCCGGCATAAAGGATCCGCTAATTTACAAACACAGCCGAGTTGTTAACAGCGGCCATCCGGGGGTGTTTCTCACCCCTCGGCGGTCCATCTTGCCCCCGTCGAGCTTCCCAGCTTTTCAGCATTTTACGAACTACCGGGTACCATTTGTTTCCTCCCTCTGTTATCATTTCTCTAGACAAGTGATATGAAAAGTGTCTCATCTCCCACTCACAGGAGAATGCACCCTTAACGGGCCCGCCAGCACCCCTTTTCTGAAGTTTTGCAGGTCGGAAATGCCAGAATGACTGATCTCTTCGGGTCCCAGGGATCCTCTTGCTTCCATTTTCCCCCTGGAGCCAATCGGCCGGAAATTCCGGTCGATGCTTAACCCTGGAAGTGCTCGTACGTTTCGCCCGATGCATTCCATACTTCCCGAAGTGAGTAGCAATCCTTGGTATATCATCTTCCCCTGGCGAAGAGCCTCCGAGTGAATAAGTCAGATCCAGTGGAGTTACTGCGGCGAAGGCCTGGATCGATCCTAGAACTTGAAGACGGCCTCTTCGGTGAAATTTCATCCCTTGTTTCTCGCACCGCCTGGTGGAAGGGAAAGAGAAAGAGCAAATGGCGCAACGGTTCCCCGCGAAATCCCGTGGCAATCCTTTCCTGGTCCTGGTGGGTCCCCGAGTCACCCCGACGACTCTTCGAGGTCTTCGGCATCAAAGGGCGCCGACGACCTATCGAATCCTGGCCGAGACTTCATTAAAAGTTGGCCTTTTCCTGAGCATCCTGGCTAATTGAGGGAACGCCGAGTTTACAGGAGCTCCTAGTGGCGCCTAATGAGCGTTTAAGCTTCCCCGAGGAGTAATCGAGTCCCCGAGGACGAAGGCTCGCCCGAATTAACCGGCCCCCTTCGTGGCGTTAATCCGGACTTAAAGCGTCCGCTGATCCTCGGTGGTCGAGGAGTCTCTTCAGGGTTCTATTCGGGATTCCCTTCCCCGGGAGCGGATTTTCTACTCGCCGGTTTTCCAGCCCCGTTGACCAGCTTTCGGAAAGTATACCTTTAACGGAGGAGCGTGTTCGGCGCCTTCGGCTTTGGAGACCGGAAACGTGACCACTTCATGCGGAGCTAAACCCATTACGAGCTCCTATCCTAAAACACCAGGTCCGGGTACTTCTCCTCCTCTTCGTGATAATCTTCCTCTTCATTTCCAAGCACCAGGAATTATTCCCGTCGAAGAAGTCCAACCCTCGCCGCGACGTTCCCGTCTTTAACAGCTCACCAATCGAACATGGCTCAACATTTATATCCCCAGATAGAGCACTTATTACAAAGCCTGCCCAAGGCATCCACGAAGGGCAAAACAGGATAACGCGCGTCTTGCACGATTAAAATCGTCTTCAAGGTAGTCTTCAGCTCCCATCCCGGAGGTCGGTCGCGTTTCCTCCACTACCAGGTCACCTTTGTCATCCGCAGGAGCAATTCGAGGTAGAAACCGGCGGTAAAGCCCCTTACCTAGGTCCTATTCCTTTAAAGACCCATACCGTGGAAATAAAAGAACGCCATGCTCACCCTTAAGAGCGGCGTCCAGTCCCCGCAGTCTGCCGACAATGGAGGCGAGCTGTAATTTCGACCTGCCGGTCTCCAGCTCCACTTGTTCGCTTACAGTCCTGTTGACGAGCCTCTGGTGTTCCCTGTCCTTCTGTTCGAGGATCTCCTTGAGGTGGTCCGCGTGAACCTGGGCCTGGATCCTGAGTTGCCTCCTCATCTCGTCGTCGAAGGCCTTCTGCTCCTCGAGGAACTGAAACAAGAAGATCCCCTGGTAATTAATCGAAACAAGGGCAAGGATACCCGGAAAGGTGCCTCCTGGTTCTTAAGAGGTCGCAGATACCCCCCAAGCCCGAAGAAATCCGAACCCCCAGGTCCTTGAAGGACCCTCTTCGGCTTCGCTGGCTACTCGGCGACCCGTTAACGCGGAATCGACGGTCCCTGGAGCGACGCCCGTTAACATGGCCCTGGCTGTAACGAAACTTTGATTAATTATCCGCGTTTAAGCCCGGCCTCGTTGCCAAGTGACCCAGGCCTCTCGGAGAGGGTTCTCTTGTCCATTTCCTCGGGGCAGGACACGAGGATGTATTTTGTGTGCCCAGGGCCTACATCGCTCCTCCAGCTCATACATTTCCCTGCTGGTGGCATGTCGTGCCACCGGCACCCTCGTCTCTCCTCGGCGATTAACGCACCCAAGCCTGCACCCTGGGCGAAATAAAAACGAATCGCGAACGTCGAAACGTCCCTCTTGAAATAAGAAATCCCCTGGCTTCGGTAAAATGGATGACGGATCTCCATGGAAAAATAGATCATCCACGCGATGACACCTCGCCGGAGAACTGGCGAGGGTGTTTCGCTTCATTTTTTTGTCTCTCCCTCTTCCTTTTCAAAAGTCCCTTCGTCTCGTCAGGAAACTCCACACGGGGAACACGAAAGCGTTCGCTCACTCGGCTCCGGAACTCGAAAGTTTCCTGAGCGCGCGTAAACGCGCCCCCGGTCCTTTTGTACTTTTGCACCCTCGAACACGGGGATGCCGGCCTTGTTCTTGCCCTCCTGTACATTTATGCCCTAGGGGTTCCGTGAGAAAAGAGAACACACACACCTGGAGACATAGCGAGATACTTTTCCTAATTTTATCCCCCATAAATAATAAATCCTTTAATAATAGCCGATCCCAGCCGAGGAAAGTTGCATCCCTGATGCATCTCATCGGGGCAGAAATATGTCGAGGTTCCTCTATCGATTCGGCTCGAAATGGCTGGCACTATCCGGTGACCCGGACCGCCAGGGTATTAATACGAAGGGACGTCCTATCGGAGAACAAATCGACATCCGTCGGGGGAAAAAAAAATCAAAAAGGAAAGAAATCGCGCCCCCGAGGTGTGTGAATTAAAAATCTGCTCGATCCCCGTCATCTCTTTCTCCCCCTCCCGCCCTGGATGGACCATCGATCCTCCGGTCGCTCTTCCGGAAATTGCACGCTCGATCGGCCGGGATTTCTTTTATTTTTCTCCCCCGGGATTTTTCGACACTGGATTACAGGCCGTTGCCCCGACAGATTAGCGTCCAATGGTCCGCGTCCCTATCAGTCTATTGAAACCATAAAACGATCTAAAACTATCGAGACGACACCCCTGCAATCTAAGGGCGCAATAAGGAAGGCAACCGCGGATTTGTCCCGACAGTTCCTGGGTCGGATGATATCACAGAGCGCATCCGCGCGCGGGCAATACCGCAGGCTAGTCTAAAGAGATAATATTGCCTCCCGCTAGCGAAATATTGGCGAGGGGCCAAATAGAAATAGATAAAAACCGGGCAGAAGAGGAATACGAGTCGAAAGGGGTGCGCATATAGGGTGAGAGTGAGACGGGGCAGCTATGTGCGGAGGATACGGGATACGCCGTATGCCGGCCGTGTAGGCATACATAATTCCTGGATGTATGTCGCATCTATGTGGTTCCCGGACGTCGAGTAGGGAGCACATTCTTATACATATGTGCGAGGTATACAAGCAGTCGGTTAGCCATGTGTGCAAGGCCTCGGTAGCGCACCTGGGAGCGACCATGACAGACCGAGTACATATACCCACCGCGTATTATTCGGCAGTCGTCACGGAGCTTTGGAGCTTTCGCGATTTTGTTCGGATATTCCTGTACGGATCCTAACTCTGCATGTACCGACGTAAACGGATTAACGTGACTGCGGACTTTAAGCCTCGAAGGGAGGCCAAGCTCGGCATTATGCAGGCCGAAATCTCTGCCGGGGCTCCAGCCAGCTCTCCATGTTCGTTAAGGCGATGCGAAAGTGGCGCCAAATAATTCCCGCATATAGAACTTTCCTCCAAACTTTGGACGTTTACAGAATTTTTGTTATAAATAGCAAATTGAAATTTCATGGGTGTAGGGACATTCCTCACAACCTCCGTATTTAGGCTGCAAAGTTTGAAGCGATTCGGAACGTCCAGTTAGGAGAAAAGTTGCCGCTCGATGGCTGATCGTTCGAACGCCTGGAAGCTCTTCTCGAAGAGTCTTCGAATAATCTCTCGTACCTTCCGATCGAATTCTTCCTGCAGGATGCGCTTCTCCTTGTTGACTTCTGTGCATATTAACGCCTCGATCTTCTCCTGGTCTCCCTCCTCGCCGGTCGCCTTCAGCGCTGCCTTTAGTTTAGCGTCCTCTATTGTCTGGAACAAAGCGGAGGAGGGGATCGATGAAACGTATCCACATGCGGAGGATTAACTCCAGAAAACTCGGGGAAGAAAAATAATGCAGCCCGGTGGATTGTTTCCGGCTAGTTGGAAAATGGGCCGCTGCCTAATACGGCGCTAATGTACTCCTAGGCTTTATGTGGCAGATCCCGATGCATACGCTAGCCTATGTACCGGTTCGGCATTGTTCCAATTTAAATGGGTTAATCTACTCGACGATCGGCGACTCTTACCTGAAGCCTGGCCACTTCCTTCTGGAGGGAGTTGATCTTGTTGTACGCGTAGAGGACGAACAGGTCCAACGCCTCCTCCCGAATCGCCATTTCCTTGTCGTGGACGTTGATTCCTGGGAAGAGAATTTGCAGTTCCTCGTTGAAGGTTTCCCTGGCAGACTCGACCTGCTTCCAGAATTTCTCCGTCACGTTGGCAGAGCGCATGTCGTCCTCGAATTTTTTTTTCGCGAGCTCTACGTCGTCCACTATCTTTTTGACGTTCCTCTTGGCCACGGTCTTCACCACCCCGGAAGCTTCGAATTTGGGGTCTTCGATCAAGTTGTACATCCGTTCCAGAGAGTCCATCGCGTCCTTGGCATTCTCCTCGGCACTCTTCAGGGAGTCCTTTACCTTTATCGAGGCGTCTTTTAGCCTGAACCAAGAAGGGGTTGATACAAACTCTAGATTAGTCTCAAAAAACTCAAACTGCATTAATTTCGTAGGAGAGAGGTTTACCTGGCCCAGACTCCACTTCCAATGTCGCTCGCTGCATGTTCCAAGATGGTAATGATGTCTTTATTGTAGTCTTGTATTGCACAACTAGCTTTGTTGTACGCTGTAATGGCTCTTGACGCTGCCTGACCACAATACCCCTCAAGCTCGACGAGATTGGCAGGCAATAATTCATCGGGTATGTTCTTCGGAGGGGGCAGTGGTTTCTCTGCCACTAAGGAGCGGAAGAAAACTCTGATCGATCATTGAAGCAGTTGAAGTATTAAAAAATTGACAGATACTCTGAATATAATTAGTACGATGAAGCACACTAACTTTCCTATGGAGTAATTATTTTTTTTCAAATCACTTTGCAGTTACGCACCAACTTCGATTTCGTCTCCTTTCTCCTTGCTTAACCGAATTTCTGCATAGGGTTCGTTAATGGGCGGCTGCTTTATGTCCACCAGTGGTTCAAATGCTGGTTTTGGTGCTATATCACACATGACGGCTTGTTATGCAATAGTTATTAACAATGGTTACAGCAAAAAGTTTGCAGAAGCAAGTAAAGATTAGATTGACTATAATGAGTGACTAACATTTCTCACAAGGATTACATATTGTCGTATAAAATTTGGTTGATAAACAAGTGGGGAGCAGAGAGGAAATTATTAAAGTAGGATATGAATTAATAAGAGAGGAAAAGAATGGATAACGGGATGGGGCTCACGTGTATAATCATGAATCAAAGTCATGCAGTCATCTTTCTTATAATTATGCTGACCTCCTTTCTCTTGTGTCTTTGGGAAGATGAAGTCCATTATCCTGCAGTTAAATAAATAATCTGGGTTAGTTGATTAATATTAAGTATTCCGTACTACAGACCGAGATACTCACGTTTCTTTCAATGACTCGAAGAAACTGCTTAGAAACTCGAGGTAAGTTGCCTCTTCTTGGAATATAATCCGAATAGCGTGGTCTGTACCAGGAACCCATTCTTCTAATGTTGCCCTAAAGTCTGGATTCTTCTTTGCAAAGGCTAATAATCCTAATGCACCAAGCGTCACGGCACTGATTGTCATCAAAGTACCAGTACCCCGTGTCTTCTCACTTTTGGATTTCCAAATGTCTTAGAGCTCATATGCAAACGGGCTTGTACGTCAAAGTATTGCATGCGATTCATTGACTTATTACAAGCATTTTTAATAATCATGCACTAATGTAATTCTCTTTTATTTTCATGTAGAAATAAATATAAAGTGGCAATCACAAATTCAATACAGTATCCATCGAGGATTAAACTCTTAGATTAAATACCTTTTCGGTGAGTCAGTTGAAAACTTAAGTCCAGAAAACCTGGACGTAAGTTTGGCTTCCTTGAAAAGCCTAAAACCAGGTACATTACTTTAGCAAGAAAAAGAATAAAATATAATCTACATTAACGGATTTATTGTCAAGCTTTCATTGTCATGAATTTATTGATCCAGAAGTTAGCTTTATCGTTCCTTATCTCCATGTGTCTGTCAAAGACAGATTAATGCTCAATATAGTCTACAGAGTACTTTGGAGCACAGCCCAAAAAGAGCACAGAGACATATATCTGTTACGCACAATAAACCCAAATCAAAATACCCCGCATCGAGCCGCCAATACAGTTCACTCGATACCCTCTTGTCTCACCTGCCTTCGGGTTCGCACTTGACACGAGCCCTCGTCTCATAGTACCTGGCCGTTAAGTAGAGCTTGGAATATCCGTGTTTCTTAACCTGCAAGCATAATCTCATTAAGCACGTCTGAAATTATGTAAGCGCCTATATTGAAGCCATCTTGTCACATTATGCCCACAACCTGCAGCTGACATTAATTTCAATAATATTCAATGACAACTGCCAAACCTTGTCGACAAACCATTGCGTAAACCTCTGACAATCGTCCCGTCATCCTGTGATGATCTCAATAATCTCAAAGTCGACATAATAAGACGAATTGAAGGAAATAAACGTCCCGTGTCTAAGAATGGCAGTTCACAACGCCAGTCGCCCCACGGTTTTCAGGTTAATATTAACCATGAAATCGTAGGGAGACATAACCAAGTCAAGGAGCGGTATTTAATAGAAGACTGGCACTTATTTTACATACCCGATTTAGACCGTTGCACGGAAATTTTAATCCAATTCGGAACATCTTTCGGGTGGCCGGTCGGACAGCCGAGGAAAAAGGGAACGACGGCACAAAACAGCTGGCCACCGACCGACGTGTCGACCGAAGGAACGCGCCCCGAAAAGAAGAATGTTGCGTATTGTTAGCGCCGTGATTCGAGGTAAATATCGACGTCAAGACGCTCGTATTTCCTCCGGTCGAGTGTTTTAAAACGCTGTTGAAGAAGTGGGCCTCGTCTCCATGCTCGGTGCGCGAAATCCGCGGGTAATTCGAGCGAAACGAGCTAGAGCGAGTTCTGCTTTGGAGGTTAGGCACGCCGAGGGCGGGCCGCCATCTTGGATCAGCTGAACAGCGGAATAGCGAATTCGCAATGGCCGCCAGATTTGAACGCCAATGCGTTCTTTACCTGACTCGATCGAATGATTTTGTTTGTCGAATGTGTCTGCACATAACAAGTGTCAAAGATTACACATAATTAGCCTCTTGCTTTAACTTTTCAGCGAGCAATGGCCGATTATTTGCAACAAGTTCTAATGCTTCGAAATCACTTATCGGTACCAACGTAGAGCAGACCCGGTCATTAGTAACATTTTCGCCAAGATTGTCGATGCAAGATGCTTGCAGATGGAGTAATCATGGAACATTATTGAGGTAAAATTTAGTTCTGTAGATTTTTCAACTCTTGCAACGGGATTAATACTAAATTGATTTCAGTGAACCATTGACGTCAAAGATTCTTTCATTGACAATGCCTACACCAACGTTATCGAGAACACTTACCAAGTTTTCCCTTCGGAAAGGGAAGAGGAAAGCAGTGAAACCTGTCATTAAAAGATTCTATAGACTAGACTGGTATCAATGATTATAGACATTTAGTATATCCGATATCGGAGAGGAGGTTAAGGAGGGGTTATTACAATTCATTATTTTTAGGGGCATTTGGATCCGTACAATGGCTGGACGGCACAAGCGTATGTGGTTAAAATCCAGAGATCGGAAACGACGTATGCGTAAACACGTTTTCACAAATGCTACGCAGTCCTGGTTGCTCGACAAAATGGTTACAAAGTTTTGGAAGAAGAGGAGGCACTATCCAGAGGATCCCTACGAGCCGTACCACTTGAGAGAAGAGTACCACAAAACAAGGAAATACCCTGCACCTATACCTGAGAAAGTTACGCCTTAGTGTCACAACTTGAGCATCGATACCTAACTTAAGAGAATACAATTATACAGTTATGCAGCTTCGAAACTCGTTCTCACAGACATTATTCTTTCTAACGAGTCACCCTCACTAAAATATTCCAATAACTAAATCAGCAGAAGTCTCACCTTGTGTCCCACCCCAAGAGTTAAATCTCCATCGTACCTCTGCCCACGAATCTATTAGCTAAGTGCAAAATTAATATTACATTTCCCCATTATCTCTTTTAACATTCACATTGGAAAATTAATAAATACACCCATTTATTACATATCGTCACACTTGGCGTTGGTGCTGGCGACTCGAATTTGGGGTCTAATTTCATCTGGAAAAATCGCGAAAAAATTCAGTCAACTGCTCCGGGCTGTTTTGGGGAAGTTGCCGAGGTCCGGGAAAAACCGGCTTGGGTGTATCGTGAAATTATTCCAGTTTTTTATCGCCGCGTAAACCCCTCCCCGCGGCACGCGAGAGTCGCGGAGTGCGAGTGTCCTCTCAGTCGACCCTCGTCTTTCCCGGTGCACGTGTCTCGTATCTTACCTTCTTTCCCTACGCCGATTTTTCGCCCCACGGCGGACTTTTTCCCTGTATTATCGCGTTATCGATACTCGACTTTACAGAGGAAGATGCCCTACAGGGGAAGACTTCGTCTGTTGGGTAGACTCTGCTCTGCCTCGAGGTCGACGCCGGCCAACAAGTCAAGACGTGCCGGCGTCGCGGCGCAATTAGCGGACTTCGAGGCGAGACGCTTCTCGACGAGTACGCCACTCGATATGAGGTGAGCTCAAACTCCTTCAAGTTTTATCAAGTTTTATGATCAATTTGACAGCTCCCAACTTGCCAAATCCGTCATGTATTAGTGACAGTTGAATATTCAAACCCCAGGACATCAATCCAGTGCCGTACGTACTTTGTCAATTAATTTATGTTTTTATTTACAGGCAGCGTATGAGGAAAAAGTTCTGTACTACGCAGAGCTGTTACAGGTGTTAAATAGAGAGCGAGATAATATCGGGTGGATTAAGTCTTCGGCGAGAGAAGCGAGAAATTAATTTGTATATTTATTATTGAAGAGGGTACTCGAAGGGAATTATTTTTTGAGTAACTTTACTATCGGGGTCCTATTTTAGAAATGGTAGATACATCCATTTCTTCTATTTAGAGGTCTGAAGTAGGCCTAGGGAGATACGAGCAAGAGAGAGATTTCTTAAATTATGGATGTGTATGTAGGATTAAAATTTCAACTTGGGCGTGTCTATTTTCTGAAGGCAGTTTTGGAGATTAGCTTGAGAGCGGGTATCTCTTATAGAGAAATTGCAATTGTTATTGAATGGACTGTGAAAATTACATTTTTTCTTTTGCAGGTTCGTACAGTTTGTCGGGAAAAATGGAGGTCCTCAGCATCTGGGGGTACAGCTCAAGCAAGGAGGAGACATCATCGCCGTGTCTGCGGTGGATTCAAGGATTCCGAATAATCTGAAGAAGTTCTTAGACGGTGGCGAGGAACTGCTGAAAAAAGCCAAACGGTAAAGCCTGTGGGGAAATACCTTAACTAATCTATCTCGGCTAGATATTATTTATCTGTATATTTATATGCATGAACGTGTAAACTGGACCCGTTTGCGGAACAGCCAGATTAGCGAATCACCCGGGCGTGTTCAAACGCGATAATGGTTTTTACATTATCTTTCGAAGATCTATTAACTATCTCCGGTTTAAAGGCCCCTCTTTACTGTCCCCAGGGACGACGATTTCGACCTGAGGAGTGCAGTCGAAAGGTTCGTGGCTAGTAGCCCTGGAAATGTTTTAAAAAATCCCCTGGCCTGCTGTTTATTAATTCTTTCATTTTCAAGACCTCTTAATCACAATTTTCAGTCTATTTAAAGCGATCGGGTACTTGATGTTATTGGCCAAGTTTACACAGCGTTATCGATATATGCTCTTTCGGAATAAGAAAAAAGAAAACTTAAGCACTTCTGGCATTATCGGCCAGCGCTCGTAATTTCTTCATTACCGCATGTTATGCTTTCAGTTTTTTCTGGTTTAATCGAGTGGCCTCGTATCGCCGGCAAGAACCAAACAATATCGCTAACTTTGAACATGCTAAACCTCCTGCAATCGAACGCTGATAAGTCACGCGTTATCGGATAGCAAATTAATAGAAACGTTGACCTTATCAGGAGCATTTCCTTCGACGAGGGATCGAATGCTCGATTTCGCGTTAACTCGACGTTCGATTGGCCGACGATTAACATTTTTTCCTCCTTTTTTTTTCGTTTATTTTTTTTTACAACTTATCCCCAGCATGACAATTAGAGAGACTGTTTCAGAAATATTTACCGGCGCTCGTTGGGAAAATAAAACTCTAATCGCGTATCGGTTAATGAATAGTCAAGAGAAACAATGCCCAATGAGGAAAGAAATCTGCGGGCTTATCGCGGCAATTCTCGGCGCTGATAAAAAAAAAAAAAAAGGAAAGAAACAGAAAAAAAAGAATTTTCCTTTGGAACCCTTTCATTTATGCGGAGGAAAAGAATTAATAAATTGTTGCTCGTTTGCAGGATTGTGGCTCAGGGCCGAAGCGTGACCAGAGAGGAAGATGTTCATTTTTTGGCCCCGATCACGCAGATGGACAAAGTCGCGTGTGTCGGTCTCAATTACGTCGGTCATTGCAAAGAGCAGAATAAAGAGCCTCCGACGAGTCCAATGATCTTCAGTAAATTCCCTAGCAACATTGTTGGCCCCACCGACGATGTAACATTGCCTACTATATCCGACGTAAGTTGGCTCGATTAAAAGTCCCGTAGAACTTATCGAACAATAATCCTGCCAGGTGGAGGAGAATATTTTGCAACATTTTTCCTTCTCTACTCTGTATTGTATCGTGACGAGTTTCATTTAATTTCCTACACGCAAGGTCTTCCATCGCCGTTCCCGTCGTAAATGCTTGTTGCGTAAAATCCTAGTTACGGAAAGTTGCGAAGGTATTATCAGCATAGTTGAAGTCACGTAAGCATTGTTGATGTTCGACGTGGCACTGAGAAAAGACCTCTCTTTTATTCGGGGAAAATTGTTTCCTTGAATAATGATTATTTGAGTGTTTCTATTTTCTTTTTTTTCTGAGTCAACGTCGAGGCTTACAGGATTCCGACATGAGGTTCACGGTTGAAGATGGTATTTTTAGGCGACTCTTTTCCCGCCCGGTTGCGCAACGAGATAATGAACTTTCGGCCTAATTTTAGCGCGACTCGGTACCGCGGTATATTTCTAATGTTTCTTTTAAGAGAGGGAAAATATTTGCAGTACTTTTGAGGCACTTAAAGGACACGATTGGTCTGGTCTTAATGCTCTTTGGTTTATTCCCCAGAAAGTCGACTGGGAAGCTGAACTTGCGATCGTTATTGGTAAAAAGTGCAAGGGCTTGGACAATCACGAGGCCGAGGATTGTATATTCGGATACACGGTGGCTCAAGATCTCTCGGCGAGGGACTGGCAGAGGAAAAATGGCGGCCAGTTTCTGCTGGGCAAGGCTATGGACACTTTCTGCCCACTGGGACCGGCTGTGGTTGCGAAAGAAGCGATTTGCGACGTTAATAATCTATCCGTTAAGACGTGGGTAAACGGAGATTTAAAGCAAAATGGGAATACGTCCGAGCTCGTCTTCAAGCCTCGCGACATTGTCGCCTACCTTTCTCAGTTGGTCTCGTTATACAAAATATATTTACGTATAGATGTATACAATTTGTATAAACATTTTATGTACCTTGCAGATTCTTCACACTGTTACCGGGTGATCTCATCCTGACGGGCACTCCTGCTGGAGTGGGATTTGCTCGGAAACCGCCGGAGTATTTAAAGGTAAGATGCCGAGGGCATCTAAAAGTAAGAATGTCTCTGGAAATAAATATGTTTAAATAATTTTAAACCTCTCTCCGCTCGTAGAAAGGAGACTGCCTGGTGACCGAGATCGAAAGTCTCGGCCGACTCACGAATAACATTCTTTGATCGAGCTGAGATGGACGAAGGCCGCTATTGAAACGCGCGTTCCGGCATGACTTGGATATGCCGGAGCCGAGGGTTGGTTCCTACTAATAAGTCGACAACGTTTACGATCTGATTTCTCGCAAAATGGAAATGCTAATACGACGGAAAAGCCTCGAGTCCTCAGCGAACAGCGACGACCCCGTGACGTGCCCTCGAAATGGATAAATGCCCGTTCCGAATGCGCAAATTATGACTACCGGCGAGCGAACGCAATTTTAGCAATAGTTTTCGATACTGTATTATTAAAAAGAACAATTTTACAATGTTTGTATCTCCACGAGGTGGTTCGGATCATTTTAAATGCCTGCGATCGTCTCCCTGGTATGGATAACGAACTAAACTTTTATAGTTTGTACGTGTATCAATTTTAAACGAACCGCGCCGACGCCATCTTGGACGCGTCGCCATTGGTGACGCCGTATCGAACCAAACGAATACATTAAATCTCGTCAAAAAAAAGGCCTTTTAACTCGTGCCAATTCGTTAATGACCGTGACCCGCTTCGAAATTTGTTATTTATACATGTTTTATTAACTTGTTTTAGTTTTTACGGATAAATACGTACCATTTGTAAGTGGCGCCCTCGGCAACGTCTGCGAGGAAGAACCGAACCATCTGCTGGAAATCTCTCCCATGGTAATCATGGACTTAGTTGGAAGAGAGAGGCTGCGAACTCTCTTGGGAACGTTGAAAGACAATCACTTTGACTAAAGAATCAATAAAAAAGAACCTCGAGACCGAATTTTTCAAGAGCGCTTCGATGATCAGAATTTATGGCCGCGGTGTGGAGGCGTCTTTGCGTGCGCGTATGTAGTACGTATAACGTTGTCATTATTAACATTTTGTTGCACTTTCACGTGTCACGATAACATCTAGCCTTTTGTGCTTATTCCACAGGGCGTGCGATCATTTTATTGGCAGGCCTCCTGAATCGCCGAAGGGGCATAAAAGGGAATGCAATACCATCGGACAAAGATTACCGGTAATAAGCAGATGGTAATGTCCTTTCCATCCCCTACACAATAGGGCGGAGTAAGGGTGGCTACTGGGCACCGACAAACAGAATTCAAATGGACCCAGCTAGACGCAATCGCGATTTTATCTAGACCTGTCAAGGGTGGCTTCCCCAGGTTGCTCTTACTCTGCCAACCCCGACACCCTAAGCCCCCTACTCTGCCTATAAATTCAGATTCAAATCCGGTACTGAACATTTTTTTTTGGTTTCATTTTCTCTTCCATTTCCAGGTCCAGCACTTCATTGGGAGGAAAGTCATGGCAAGGAGGTCTCGTTTTTCAAACTCCTTGGAAATGGGTATACCGAATTCGTTTTAAACTTTACAATGTGAATATGGCGACTACTAGGAAGGTCCCGACACCCATGAAATTTCCATTCTTTCTTGATTTCTTTATGGACATTTTAAAAACTTCTCATAAGGAATTAAATTTCACGGGTGTCAGGACGGATTTCATCGAATCAGGCGGCACTTTCAAATCATCATAATTGGCTCAATATCTGATGGTAACGTGAAACGCAGTCTGGGGAAATTTCATTTTCGAAATTGGGCTTCTTTTGTAAGTGCATGCCGTGTTAGGAAAGTCGCTCGATAGGAACTAATTTGCTGTTTGCGCGAAAGTGGCTCGACTGAGGTTCGAAACTGTTCTGGACTCATAACGCTTGTCGTCCGCCACGTGCCGAGGGATGTTATGTGCCACGTGGCGGCCAATCTAAATCTAATAACGCAAACAGCCGCACAATAATGCCTTGTACCCGAGGATGTTTGGGGACCGGAGGTAATTGGACACCATGTGAACTAATCGTTCCGAAGTGGTCCTCTAGAAGGTATCTCGTTTCGTTATCTGTCGATCCCAGGTCGATTCAGTGGGAAACTGGGGTCTCGATACCGCAGCCAGATATTAGAGAAAAATCATCCATTATGAGAATGTCCGACCGATGAAGGTTTCCTTGAAAGTAATTTCCAGGGGCCATTGTACTACCCGGTGTCGCTTAGAACTAAGGCCTCTCTCTTTAATTCTCAAAAATGTAAGTTTAATGTATATATTAATATACATCGAGGTGTGTGCGTGGTAGTGAGGTGGAAGAAGTTTCTCATATCGAGATACAATGGCGCGAAATCATCGAAATCCGTCGGTGAACGAAAGCTTCCAAGGCTTTTGCAGGGAAGCCCGCAAGTCTCGAGGTACTTATTTTCGCGAATAAGAAGTACCTTTTTGGGACTCGCGAGCTGCCTGGATATTTGGATGAACAATTTGACCGGTATCTCGAAGATCGATATCAAAATTCGTCCGGGCTTAGTCATGACGTGGAATCATTTCTCAGAGACGCAGACCTTGTCCAGAGAACATCCGGATTTCCCTCGGGAGATATTTCGGTTTTCGTATACTTTTGTGAAATGTCAGAATTCCCTCGGGTCGGCTTACGAAACGATCGAAATTATAACTATACTTTTCCCCACGCATACGACCGGGTCGAACTTTGCGACACGCGGAAGCCCCTTTTCGGGGACAAATTGGAAAATTCGAGCCGGGAAAACGGCGACTCTTGGAATCCTTCTTCCGGGTCGGAAAGCTCGACCCATTCGCATCGCGTCTATAGGTGGTAGTCTACAGGTGTGCTAAGATTATTTACATCTATTTATAATAACATTAGCTCTACAATTGCGCTACATCGTTTCGTTGGGCTCTTGGAAATAGTTATTTTTGTACATCGCAACGATATTTACAGGTATCATACAAGTCACACGTTACTCTCTACCTATCCGATATTAGTCTCTTACAGGGTAGGGTAGGAAGTTAAAATTTCGAAATCGAAAAATCCTCTCTCTAAAACTATGGAGTCTGTATTATTCGTTTATAAGCGATATGTCCGTCTAGTGGATCCTCCCTCGATCGACCCTTCCTTGCCCGTGATATCCGGGAGATAAAAAACCCTCCAAAATCTTCACCCCCCCGCCCCAAATAAAAAACTCCGGCTCAAACTCGAAGAGTATCCATCGAAGAGTTCTCCCCTTCGGATGAACAAAAAAGGGAGGACCCTTCGACCCGATACTCCCTATCAACAATTCGAAATGTACAATTACACGCTCTCCATGCAACCTCAGCCCGAATGTGCCCGAAAGAAAAGTAACCAAGAAAAAAAAAAAAAAAATAGGAGAATCAATCATTTGGATACTGAAATGCTAATCGATTCACCCGATCGCACTCAGGGCCTCGTTCGATAAAACTGTGCCGATATATGCAAATCCCCCTCGCAAACGCGACTCGATATGTATAATTCCGTATCTCGAATTTGCGCTTAACTTCCGTCCGGCCTGATGACGGTTAATTTTTTAATTTTTCAATGTCTCTCAAGAGATGTACTAATTTACATGGGCGTTCCTTAGGAACGCTTGCCGGGATTTCTTTCCCCCAGTTCCGGTGGATTGGGCCCCCCGGAACTGGGGGAAAGAAGAGAGAGAAAGAGAGAGAGAGAGATAGTCGGAGGACTTGGGCTAGGGATTTTCATTGAAATTCTCAATTTCAGGAACGCCGACACCTCGCAGAGATCTTTCTCTGGTCGCTGAAGAAGTCTTCTGGGCTCGAGGGTCACTTCCTCTTCCGGAAGCCTACATCTCGTGCTATTTCCCTGTCGAGGAGAGCAACGGACTTCCGGTGGCCGAGTAGCTCTGGCTGCAGGTCGGCAACATAAACGGATTCATGTTGAACGGCGATCCCATCATGTCCCCTAGCCCTGCAACATGGCCACTGTCAATTATACGTTAGTCAACGTCCTCTCTTTAATTTAATATTTGAACATCCGACGAGAGCACGGTAAACGGCCCTCATGAAGCAAGATCAGTTATTACAAAATTATCCCTTTAAAAATATTCGTATCGATTATTGTTTAATTGTCCCGTTTGTAATTATTTTATTATTTCTTAATAATTGATCTTTCATGTAGTAGCCGTATTTCATGGCTGAGCCTAGGGAAATGGCGTAAATTCAGCGGAATATTTATTATCTCTGTGCGTTAGTTGGCCAAGCGTCATACCTACTCTCTTTTTCTCGGTCTCTCGTCTCTCGGTGGGACGATTCCCTAAAGGTTTATCGCAGTGCATGGGACGGACGATTTAGCGGTTTTACTGAGCGGCTGTGGCGAGGTGGTGCTGTGTGGGCCAGTGCGGTGGGACTGAGGTGGTCGGTGGTCGGACTACGGGCGCGAATGCGCTCCCGTCCCCGGACGAATAGAAAATGCCATACTGTTCGTGCGCTAAAACGAAAAATCCACAAGGGGAAACCATAAGTGGGGGCGCATCCCGAGTCCCGAGGGAGGGAGTCCCGAGAGGCTCGGATCGGGGACCGGCGACTTGCGAAGCGCATGCGCGTGCCATGCTCGACGCAGTAATGGCGGCGATGGGGACGTAATCATGTTTCTTTTTATCTTCGACTAACGATAGGAACCGGAACCGACGGATCGGATGGAAGGTCTTGCGATTTTCACGGTTCTAGAACTACTTCATTTGATATTACATACCTCGGTATGGTACACTTATTTCAGGAGGGTTATTGGAAATTATATTTCCGGGGGGTGGACATTTTGGAGTACTTCAAAAAGTATACATCCTAGTATGTATCATTTTAGAGTACTTCGAAAAGTATATAAGCATGACACTTTGCAGAAGTACCCTTGGAATTAAATTTTGTGTTTCACGGTTCGAGGGTGGTATATACTCTGGGACGTACTTCGAGACTGCGAAGAATATAAAGGGTCGATTTCCACCTTTTTAAGGGCGAGAAACAGGGACGATAAGTGATTTAAGAAATACCCGCCTTAAGAACCGCACCAGGAACTCGAAAAATGGACTCTTCGAGGAGTACTCGAGTACTCGGGGGAACGAGGATATAAATTGTCGCAAGACCTTCCGGCCGATACGGCGGTTCTCTAGGGAATTCGGCAGAGCTCAGGACACCCCCCGGGGGCGGCTCTCGACTTACGCGAGGTGTAGAGGGTCGGACTCCCGGTGTAGGGGTTGGCGACGGAGTAGCTCCCGCTGGTGCTGTGGCTGTGGGGGGTGCTCGCGGAACTCCCGCAGTAGCCGCCCCCGGTCACGACGCCCCTCGGGCTCGCACTTCCGCTCTGCCGGTAGGCGTCGGCGCTGCCCCCGACGCTGCCCCCGGCCCCGGCGCCCGCGGGCGCCCCCGCGGTCACGGCGCCCCCGTCTAGAAATAGAAACCTGCCCGTAAGATCGACTCGTCAGTATCCGTCATCAAGATGGGGAGAGGCCTCGACCTAAGGGCTACCCGAAAACGCGGCGGACGAAACGCACCGGATGGTCCGAGATCATGGAATGACGTTCACGCGCATCGGACGGATGGACGTAGAATTTCTGACATTTAAGATGACACGACAGGCGCTGGGAAATCTCATCGAGGAAGATTAATTAAAATTCATATATACCCATTTCTGTAGCAACGTCATTTTGAATACTCAAGTGTTAACATAAGCTGGCGCGTCTCGTTACCGACATTTATATTTACGTTAAAGTCTTTTATAGTCTACTTTGAGAATTGTCCTTAAAGGAGAATTGTCACCTTAAAGGCGTCCGATCTGGTCTCGTCCGACACGCGTGAAACGAGGCGACGAAACAACCCCAGAAACTCGGGGAAGTTAGTAAAAAACCTAGGGGGCATTCACTCGTGAAATGGTGCGTTTTAAAAATCAATCAGCCGGAAGTCATCGCACTACGTAATGATAATTCGAGGGCGAAGAGAACCGCGAATAGGATAACAGAATTCCCTAGAAATGGTCGGAAATCCTAGAAACATCGTCGCGGGAAATTTAAGGGCACACGTCCCTCGTTACGAAATCGCGGGTGGTTATCGATAACGCGAAATCAATGGAGAAGTTTTTGTCAAAGGAGGACTTTACTGATTTTCGAGTGAATCGCCCCTGGGTGATAAAACAATCCCGCCTCGAGACTTTTGTTCGATCGCTCTGCTTCTTTTTTCGTTTTTGTATTTTTCTTTTTCTTTTGTTGTTCCTTTTGTTCTCGCAAGCTCACCGTCCGTCCACTTGGCAGCGCTGCCATTCTCCTGCACCGTCACTGCCAACTGGCCGGTGTAGGAGTTGAAGGCGGTAGCCGCCCCGGAAGTCGGGGGCGCCGGCGGATGTCCGGTCCCCGGACTCCTGGGGCCGCCGGAAATGCCGGCGTTCCCGCTCCTCGGCATGCTGTAGAGCGCCTCCGCCAAGTCCGCCGCCCTTTTCAGGATGATCTCCTTCGGCAGCTTCTCCGGGTCACCCGGGTGGCGCGGTATCAGCTTCTGGAGCCTCTGGAACCCGTAGTCGATCGTCGGCTCGTTCAGCGCTGAAAGCCGACCGTCTATCTTTAGCGTGACCATCGCCTACAGGGACACCGAGATTCATACACTTTTCCTCGGTACTTTTCCGAATTATCGCCACTTACAGACGTAGACGAATCTGCCTGGCGCGCCTTTGCAGAACTGCTTGCTTTTGTACGAGAGCGTCACCTCCACCACCCCCGGTATCTGTCGCGGGGGCGTTTGCACCCTTATTGCGTGCGCTGTTATCAGCTGGAAGAGTGATTAGTGAATACTTTCTCTGATTTTCAGAGGGATCGCCAAGAGACTTTCCACTTAATATCGGGGATTTACCTCGCTCCAGACCAACATCGTGCCGAAGACCACCTGGAGGCCGTCGAAGAAGTTGTCCCCGATGATGATGACGGTCGACCCGCCCGACGTCCACCCCTCGCTCGGGGATATCGCCTTAATGCAGGGAGTCGCCACAGGAAGTGGTGAGTAGAGACCTGGTGATAAAAGGAAATCCTCGATAAAAAAAAATCAACCCTCTGTAACGATCTCTCCATCCCCTTTGTTACACGTCTATATCGAGAGAATGGATTTAATGAGACCGAACTTAAAAAGAATGTCGGTACTTATGATTTGCCGTAATTGCATTAGGTGTAATCGATAAGAGTTGCTCGCTCGAGCGAAGAATTTCCGTTTTTCGCTCGGGGGGATGGGGATGAAAAAAAAAAGTGGAGCGAAATCGGCCGCCGTAACGGATCGAGGGGTGCTTCTCGAGGGTGGAGGGATATGGAAAATTATCTGAATATTCTGTTTATTCGGTTGAGGCCGAGTGGCAGATATATTTTCCGGGGTGGCAGCGAGCACGGCTCGCGGGGGTGGGAATCGCGAAGAAGGGGGCGAAACGGGTAGAGGGTAAACGACGAAGAGGAAGTACTCGAAGAGTGGAAGGCGCGAGAGGGAGAGGCACGGAATGCGCCGGAAAGGAGGAGAGAGAGAGATAGGCAGGAGGGGTGGAGAGGGAGCAAGACCAGGGAAGGGTTGTAACAAGAAGGAGAGGGCGATCGGGCCGCCAGTGTCTCTGCTTGGAATTTATAACCCAATGATATCATTTTGTACCCCGGCGAAGCCAAGCCACCCCCGGCAGCGCCAACCCTGCCAGAGCGGAGCCACGGCAGAGTGGCTGACATCATGGTATATTGCCCCCAGTGATCCTCAAACACTTCCTGTTTCCGGAAGTCAGCCGGGAATAAATCTCGGGGATTAACGAAGGACGAGCCACCCCTCCTGGGCCACCCCGGATTGAAGGATCTTCGATCAAGGATCGCGATCGGCCGCGGCTCTTCGGGGCTGATCGACTCGGTATATGAGAGGGAATTACTCGAGAGGGGGATTACCTCGGAATGATTTACTCATTAAATTTTGGGATACGTTATTGATATTTAGAAACGAAAATCCTCAGTTTACGGGCCGCCCCAAAATTTTGATGAATTATTAAAAGGAACTATACCACCGTGAACGTCGAAAAGATTACACATTTTTGACAATTTTCTTTCTCTTCAAGGTATCCTCGGTGGGGGGAAATGTCCAAATTCGCCGTTTCTAAAAATGATTAATACCGCGTTTAAAAATTATTAATACCGCAGCCTAGGAAGAGGGATTTAATGTCGAACTGTCATTCTTCAAGATTGGTTCGCCAAGATCGGGCATGGCCTTGGACAGGTCCAGGGTGTTTAACATGGCCAGAGGGAGGATCCGCGAAGGGAGTCGGCCGCGTTGGCAACCATCCTGGATAGAGAATTGTCGAGATGGCGAGGGGGTGGGTCGGGGGGTGCTTGAAAAGAGGGATTCAACGGAGGAGGCCGGAACAAGCGTACCAACCTGGAATAAATAAAATCCCCCGCGCCGGCGGATACTACCCCTTTCCGACCCCCTGCACCCCCTGGCCCGGAACATCCCCTGCCGGGGACGTCGGGGTAGCACTGCACCCTTCCGGCCCGATTCTTCGATCAGCCCGAGATCTCTTTTCGCGGCTAACTTCGTTTCGCGCGACAACCGCGGAATTCTCCCCGGGAAGAATTATTCCCCGTGGGAGGGCCGCCGAGTCGGGGGTTAGATTTCGGATTAAATCACCGGGAAAAGCGGGGGCTTAGCGAGGCGATCTTCGAGGAAATTCATTTAGAATTTTTACGCGCCTCCGGGACTCTTTACACGAATTAAGTACATGAATTAAGAGCGAGGAGTCATCTCCTATTTGGAATTTCAATGCAAAGTCGGGAATTTTTAATATAAATCATAAGAGCCATCCCTCGACGTACCTAAGCATCGTCCGGATTCATCCCTCGCGGAGATCCCGTCGACTTTTCTTTCTTTAGACAATTTTCCGGGAAATTCATTTACAATTGATCATTCCACCGGCAAGTGGGGATTGTTACAAAAAATTATACAAATCTTAGGGATTAACGCTAACCGCACCCCCTGCGAGGAGTTCGGCCTTGGCCCGTTTGCGGATTTTTACCCAGCCTCCCCATGAGCTCGGAACGATCGTCGGGATTTCCGGGCTCGGGATCGGCATTCCTGGAGGAAGGAGAACCTGGAGGAAGCTCTTAGAAAGCCTGGAAGAATCCTCGTCCGGATCGGGCCTCATTGGTATGCCCGTTCCGGCGTCGCGGGGGGTCTACTCGTCGCAGGGTGGCGTTACGAGCGAGAGGGTTGGTCGGACCTGGGGGATGAAGGGGCTCCCCGAGATAGCTTAAACTTAGCATTCACAAACCAGCGCTCCTGCTTCTCGGCCAGGAGAGGCAGGAAAGTCAGGAAAGTCAGGGCGAGGGGAGGAGGGCCAATTCCGAGGCCGGTGTCTTTACGCTCGGCGGCAGCCAACCAGACAAAAGGCCAGGAGGGTGCGGGATTGGGCGTTGCGGGGGATCCGAGGTCGAGAGGAACCCCGCCAGGGGAGGGAATGGAATGGCGGATCCTTCGTTTTTCCGCTCCCATTGATTTACATCTTGTCTTGGCTCCTGTAGCCGAGAGCCGAGGGGGGAGCGGCGATATCGGCCGTTTGTATGCGCGGCCAAAGCCAAACTTTGCTGAATAGCCCTATGACTCCTTGCCCCCCTTCTTGCCCCCCGGATCCCCTCTGGAAAGTATCCTCGAGGCCGGGGGACTCCTCGGGAAAGTCCTAACCACGACTGAGACAACACCCAGTCATTTTGTCCCGCGGGGTGATGCCGCGTTTTTTTTCTCTTTTTTTTTTTCTATCTTTCGACCCCGAGATAATGATGTGCGACGGGGTTCGACAGATTTTCACGTAATCGTAGAATTTTCGGAAATTTGTTTTGCCTCGTCAAGTGAGTAACGATCGTTAGAAGTTTATAACGCGAATTTCAGGTGTACCGAGGATTATATCTGTCGGGATAACGAACGGTGGGAGGGATTGGCCGGCTCCAGGATGGGCAACAGGGAGACCGCTTAAACTCGCATAACGCCGTCATAATCACCTCTGTAACGCGTCGCTCCGTCCGCGGTGCAGTACACCGTATAGTATTCTGCGAACACACCGGAAGGCACATTTGTAATGCTCTGATGACACTTGGACGCGATAGGCAAGTTTAAGCGGACGCGGTTTGGACAATTCGGGGAGCCCCTTCTCCGGGGTGCACTTCAGGGTACCCTTCAGGGTGCATTTCGGGACCGAGCTCTCGATAAAAATTTCCCCCTCCGTCCCCGAAAATGACTCTCGAGGTGTCCACTGATTCGATAAATCTCTTCTAAACAAAAGGAACAAACAATAATTACGCACTGTTGTACTCGCCAGGGTCGCTGGGGTCTAGCCTCTTCGCTCTTCGTCCGTGCTTGCTGTTGTTGTGGACGAACATGTTGTCCGAGACCGCCAACAGTGGGCCCTCCACGCCGACCTGGGTGGAGATGATCACCTGAAGGACAGAGGAGGACGTTTCACTTTCGCTGAGATTCGTAGGAGAATGAAAAATAGAGATCATTTGGGGAAGGTTTGCCTTCTAAGGGGTTTCAAAATGGCCGACGGGGGCGCGAGGCCTCGAAGAAAGGGGAGGAAAGTTTCCTGCCGATTCCTGGGCAACTTCCCTCCTCGCAAGGACACTTAGCCCAGGATCGCGGCTTGCAAAGTTGGACCGCGATCTCGTTCGGGAGCTGACTTCACCCTCCGGAGGGTTAATTCGCAACTTCGCCCCGGCCATCCCCGAAGAAATTCGTAAGTGCGATAAATATTTTAATTCCGGTCGCGCGGCGCCTCGGCCGCTTTTTCGGGCAATTTCTTTTTTAATTCTGCCTTTTGTTCCGGCCCACTCCTCGGCGGGGTGGGACGAAGACACGGAGGGGTTGTTACGCCGGATAAGGGATGAAACGAGGAGAGGGCGGTGGTAGCTGATGCCGTGCTGAGCTAATTGCTAGCCTCCTGGATTACAAGTCTCCTCGCGAGGGCTCTCAACTTTCTGCGGTTCCTAGTCGTCCTGGAACTCTTCCAGAGCATCTCCGAGGAAAGATTTGCCTATTTTAAGGGCCTACGAAATCGACATCCCGGACTTGATGGTTCGTCACGCTATCGCGTTCTTCCTTAAGATCTCCGTAATCACGTGCCAGAGGTTAAGATGAATTCAGTGCATCCGGTTTGGGGAAAATTTTTATATAATATTTTCATGTTTTGATACGTATAGAATGATCAGATATATATAGGCCTCGGCACCCGTGAACCTCCATGTTATAAGCAATATTTTAATTTCTAAAAATTCAAACCATTCCGTACACTCAGTTTGGAGGAAAGTTTCATAACTTTCCACGAGGCGGTACTTTCGTATCGCCTTAATTTTGGCCATTAATATATATTTTACGGTCGCGTCGCTCTCACCTGGAATCGCCTCATGTCCCGCGGGTTGCCGGCGTTCTTCAGGCAGTTCTGATTGCACTTCAGGAAGAACTTTAGGAAGAACCTGTAAGCAGAAAAGTGGAGTAACTCAGGGAGGTTTAGGGAGCCGACTAAGCGGTTGACAAGGTACTTAACACTCTTCCGGGAAAATTTAATTAGTAGGCGAACTCGGCCGAAAGCCTAGCGTGAATACTGCATCAGCCAATCGGAGCGCGGCTCGCTCGGCTCTATTATTCAGCATTTCTCTAGATTAAACCCACCTCCCTTACGTGTCTCCCGACCTTTAGGATCCTCCTAGAGCCGGGGACCGTGGGTGGCGCGAAGACCCCCTTAAATGTCACGAGGGAATAAAGGACCTCCAAGAGAATCACTGGAAATTTTCGGGAATATTTCCAATTGAATTTAATATCTACACATCCATTCACATGGAAGTTAACACTGTATCGATTAGAATGTATTGAACATACTTTAGTGTATATTGTACATACAATCCCGGAATACGTCTAATCGAGGAAAATAGTTTAAGGGGTTTCATCCCTTATTTCTTAGGAGTTTCCTGCCCGGCCGACTCCTCGCATCCAAGGGACCCTAGGCATTTCGGTTTCTAGGGAAACTCGGAAGTCCCTGGAAACCGAAGGAGTCGGGAAAATGTCGACGCTTTCCCGAGGGTGACACAGGGGCGAAGGTGGCCGAAGGGGTGGAGGGCGAGGGGGTGGCAGCCCTGCAGACGAGGCACTCCGAGCGGCGCGGCCGAAAAGCCGGCGGCTCAATTTTCATGAATTATGTAGAATATCGGGGGATATTGAATTCAGGGAATTTTTCGTAGTACCTAGATGTCGGCAGGGGGTGGCTCGGCGAGGGGTGGGCGGAAGCGGGGGGGCCGGTCGGCCGGATCTGCGGATCCAGGAGAATCGGGACGCGGAGGAGACGCGCAGGAAACAATCAGGAGGGCCGGATAGGCGAGACGAGCGGGATGGGGTGGCTCGCCCCTTTGAGAAGGGATGGTCGGTAGGCCTTCGATCCCGTGGGACGCCATTGTCATTCCCCAGTGGAATACGTCGCGACTCGATCCGGGACTCTATGGAAAAATCAACCGCCCCGTAACTTCGAGTCGATCTTCGATCGATCGGAGGATCGATCGGCCTACGGGGCCCTCTGCTCTCCCTTTACCTTCATTCTGGACAAAAACATTCCCGGGATGCCGGGAAACGCTTGATTTTACCCCCAAAATTATTAAAGTCGACCGTTTCCACTGGAGATCCGATTTACTTTTCAGAGGCTGACCACGTTAGAGAGTTTATACCGTCTTTTAGGCTCGAGAGGGGGGATGGGATTTTTATTCAATAATCGTCGACACGTATAATTGCATTTTCTTTCCTGCGTTCTCCTTCGCGATGATCACGATGGCGCGGAAAAATTTTTATTTCGGATGAGAAAAATATGAAATCCCCCTCTTGGTCTGACTCGTCGTCGACCGTTTCCCCTGGAGAACTCTACTCCGCGTCTGACCACCCTCGAGACCTTCCACTGCCCCGCTGCTGGAATAAATTCCAGGAATATTCGGGGCATATCGAATTATCATAATTTCTGTCGGGCCACTTCCGATACCGGAGGAAGGGTGCGTATCAATTTTCCAGTGAATTATTCTCACTTTAAAGACACTTCCGGTCGGATAAAGGGCGACTCGAGAGGCGGCGCAAGACGCGCCGGAGTTTCCTCGCAGTCGGGCGGATTTAATTTTGTTTACTCTCGAGCCGGCGTTAAGATGCTATCTGGATGCTGGATGGGTATTCAAAGCATTGTACCAACTTATCGGCGAGGTAGGATCTCGCCCCGGAAACGGAGCCGTCTACTTCTCGTAGGCGGCGAAGTACTCCGGCATCGCGCCGATAATGCCTCCATCGCAGCTGATAACAAGAGAGCAATGCTAATCAGCTGATCCGGGAGGCGCGGGAACCGATATCGACTTGCACCTATTCTTTCTTTTTTTATTCCCCCCCCCCCCCCCTTCCGACGAAATAATTCAGAAAGCTTCAAAGTCCCGCCCTCGTCGTCACGAAGTCCTCCCTTTGTCCCTTGCCATTTTATATCCTGGAATTAGGATAAGTCCCCGTGCATGAAGTCGTTCGAAGCGTTATCCTAAGAGTGCAAAGAGACTCTTCGATGAAGCGCCACCCATGGGGGGTCGAAATCCCCCCTCGGATCAGGGGGTGTAAGGGGATGATACACTAATCGCCGGTGACACCCCTTAGCTTCGCCCACTATTTTTCGCAGCTCCGTTTCTTCCATCCTCCCGCGAAGTATTGGCTGTTAGGACCTAATGGATTGCGTTACCGGCTTGATTCAAATGCGAGCCGGATTTCATTCCGCCATCCGAGATGGTGTCGGGGGCGTCGCTTTCCCGAAAGAGGGTGCCGGGGGTGTTAAACTCGATTCCGAATCTATTAGATTTTTCCTACGGAGAACGCCAGCCCGATACAGCCCGACGCGCGAGCAGAGCTTGAATTCCTTTGACGGAAAAAAAAGAAATAAAAATAAAAAGACAAAAAAAAAAGAATATGTTCACATCCAGGACATGGGAACGGATTAAACGGAACCGTCGCGAGAAATTTAACGGATAAACAGAGGATGAGGTGGACAGAGAGGGAGAGTAAAAAATAATGAAAACCACGTAAACGTCCCACCGTGGGTCCGAAATTCGGAGTGGGTGAAAAAAAATGGCAGCGGCCGGAATTTTGCGAAAAAAGTCCGGCGGGATTACCCGAGTGGATTTGAAAAAATCGGAGGGGTGCTTCTCAGCTGCTGGGGTTTATATATATATATATATAGAAAAAATGGAAAAAAAAATGGAGAACTCCCCGCCCTCCCGCGAATCCGTTAATTGGTACACCGGAGTACAAACAAACTGGCTTGGCGAGTGTCGACGATTTATTGGTAGGCCTGATTGAATTTATTCAACTTTGTTTGCCCTCGGCCGCGGCGGCCCTATGGCACCCCCCCATCTCCCCCGATATTTAGCTTTTTTAATCTACACACGCCGTTTATTTTTCTGATGCCGAAGCTATGGCTCGCGCAAGCGCTGGAAAAAGCCCGAAACAGCGACTCGCGTCTCGCTCCTCTGTGCACGGTTTCGTTTTATTTGATTTCATTCCACGGCGGAGGGCCAACCCCATTCGCTCCTGTATATGCGCCGAGGGATGATTTTGCAATCGGGCCGTTCAACCCCCGACCATCCCAGTCAATTTTCCTCTGTGTCAATTCGTTAGTGGCCGAGGAACGGGCCGAACGATTTGCCCAAAGCCGGAAAGTCGTCTCCTTAGATCGACCCTTAACGAGATACTGTTATCAATTTTCCTCGGGATATTTAATTAATTACAGAGCACCGAAATTGCGGTTTGTTAGGCTCAGAGAGAAAAAAGACAAAGGAAAGATTCATTGATCCCATGGAATTTTTCTTTGAACGGCATCGGAGAAATATTTCAGAGTTAATAAAAAAGGGGGTGGAACTTCCTAAATACACTTCCAAGGGTGAAGTCGAAGGGGGTGACACGTCCCGGATTGATTCCCGTAATTGCGCCAAATAGGGTGACACCATTCGCGTCGAGAGTCCATCTCGAGGGCGAATCCTTAATCGCGTTTCCAGGACCTTTTTACAGCGTCCCTCGACTTCATCCCTCAGGAAAAAAGGGACCCCTCGGATTTCTCGGGGCGAGGTTTTCGGGCCCTCTGCTTCGATCGCATTGTTTTTTCGTTGCCTTTCTCGAAGGCGCGCGAGGGAATCGATACTTCTCCCGAAAATACCCGCTCCTGCGGGATTAATTCCCCGGATGCGGCCCGGAGTCCTGCGGGAAGAAACGGGAGTTAAGGGACCGGCCACTCAGCAAGGTGGAGGGCGTGACTGGATGGACCGTGCTAATCACCTATTAATACGATTCTACCCCCTCAGGAGTGCTATTGACTAACTCTCCGTTATCGAGACCATTTCTGTGGGGTTCCCAACCATCCCCAATCCCTTATCGAGCGCTATCGCGAATAGGTAAAAGTCATTGAAAATATTTATCAGATGTTTTCCATGGCGGGTTAGTAATCCGGACGCACTACGGACAGGAGGGGAAGAGTTTCTCGGCGTTCTTCGGAATCCGCCTTAAGGATATTTTCATTGTGAACTACTCGCAGGACCGGATGGGGATTCTCAGGGAAGCCAGGAAACACCCCGGGAGTAATCCTGTACCGGATGCATAATGCAGCCGGCCAAGACGTCAATTAATAAGAATGTGTACGGAGGTCTGTACGTTATACGCGACCACCTAGAGCTGTATGCCTTGCATACACCTTAACTAGGGTTAGTAAGGGGTTAGCAAGGTATCAGGGGATGTTTAATGTTTAACCAGCCTCCATTACGCCCCCGCCCCCGTCCTGCAATACTCGTTGCCGCCTCGAATCCTCCCAGGAAGTCTTAAGGGTTCGGCAAGGGTCCGACAGGATCAAGGGACCCTCGATGGACCCATGGAAGATCCCCTTCAGAATTTACCCAAAGAAAATTTCCTTAGCGAGATACAGCCTAAGGACTGTTCTTTTTCTTTCTCATATTTTATTCCCGAGTACAAGAGTAAATTCGGGACTGTATTGTAATTTTCTAGGGATGGCTATCTTTTCAGGGTTGCCGGGAGGACCTTGCTCCACGTAAACCGGAGGGCACCGAGTACTCCGTAGCGAAGCTCGTTAACCAAATTCTTGTCGAAAAGCGGAAGCATTTGCCTCGGGACCGAGAGAGGCTACCCAGGAAGCCGGCTACGGAGGAGAGCTACGAGGGTCCTCCATAATTCATAGCTAAGTAATACGTCTTACTAGGGTTGGTAGCAGAACCGAGGGGGTTGTCGTGGGCTACCTTGTATCATGCAACCCCACTTCCATCACGGTCCGTCGTCCGATACGGAGATACCCTAATGGCAGTCTATCACATTAGTTGCAGGAGGCTAGCAAGTTGCAACCACCCGATGCACCGGCTAGGGGATGCATTAGCCCTCGATCGATCGTGCCCATAGATTTTACCGGGAAAGAAAA